GTGGTGGAGACCAACAGAAGCGTGCGTTCGTACTAAGCTTCATGGTTTCTGTTGGATCTGCAGTGGTCATTCCCTTCCAACAGATCCAGATGGCATCTGGTGAGGCTCCTGAGTTTGCAAAGACGCATGGATGGGGCAGTGCACTTGCCTGGGTTGTGGCTTTGACACTGTGGACTGGTGTCGGTCTACCACTGGTACAGCGATGGAGGCAGAAGGAGGTTATAGTGACTAACAGAGAGGATGAGGTGACTGAGGTTTAGGTATTGTTCTGTAGTTTCATACCCAAATAAAGAATCTGACTGCACATCAACAACAAATCTAGCAATTATAAATGCAATTAAGAGTAAGGCCCGGCCATTAATAGACTATGACCCGTTGTATCTTGAATGAAGTCTACGAAGTGTAGTATACGACATCCAAGGACCACGAGGGCCAGAATAACCTACACCAACTCTTGCAATCTACCGACCGCTTTTAATACCGAATAGTTAGGTAATCCTTCCAGAACATTTAAATGGGCCAGGGGAGGGCTTGGCGGGGTGACTCCGTGGAGATGCTTCGACTGGTGTGGAGAAATATGGTCTCCCCGCGGAGATGCAAAACTCTGTCCCTGACAATGTCACCCACGCCATGACATGACAGCTCGTTCTGATCTGATGGAAAACCATTCGATTTAACCTCGTAGAAGACTTCAAGAGCTGCTGATTTCATCGGGCCGTTATTGAGTTGAGGCGCTGACTGAAATGTACGCCAGCATGGCTTTGCCTCTCACCGAGACATGACCCATGCCACGTTATCGGGCGAAGCAATATTGCGAAGGGTCACCGGCCATGTCCGCTAGCTGTGAGGTTCTAGCGATGAGTCCTGGTAATAATGGAAGATATACTGTTGCGATATCCTTGGCTAGTGAACCCGCCACTCTTCCTGACCCATGCAAGACAAGACTTAGGAATCCCCATCGGATTAAATCACTTAGAGACAGGTTTATGGTAAAGAATGTTGTCAATGGTGTAAGTTCATGTCTAATTAAGTAGCGGTACTCTAAGTCTAAGAATCGTAACATTTTCGTATCTCTCATTCCACCGATGAATGCCCTACTTCGCAAGAACGCTGGCCGGCACTGAAACAGGCGCTGAATCGATCCTGCTCTCCTCATCGGTGACGGTGCTCTTATTCCTGTTGGCAAGGAAATGCATGTGCATGTGAGAGTCCACATGGGGACCCTGGTACTCAACACCGTCAACCTTGACAGGGTCCTCGTCAAACAAGTACATGTACCAGTAATACACACCGACAAACATGCCACCGCCAATAATGTTACCAACCGTAGCTGGGATCATGCCCTTCCAAATGTACAGACCGACGGTAAGATCAGGTGTCTTGAGCCAAATTGCAAGAGACATGTAAAACATGTTGGCGACAACGTGCTCGAGGCCTAGGACGACGAAGGCGAAGATGGGCCACCACGTGCCGATGACCTTGGAAGCGAGATCCTTGGCTTGGATGCCGAGGAAGACGGCGAGGCATACGAGCCAGTTGCACCCGATGGCTTTGAGGAAGATTTGATGAACTTGTGGCGATATTTGCTTTTTGCTGGCGAAAGACATCACGACTTCCTTGTAGGGTGACGCATCAAAGACACCGCCATCTGATAAATTGTTAATTGCAACCTTAGCATTGAGTGGGCTCAATGACTTACATCCCATAATGATAGACATCACAAATAGCGATCCTGCAAGATTGCCGAAAAAGCAAAGGAACCAATGCAGCAGCATCTTTCGGATCGCAAGCCGACCTTGCAGAACAGCAGTCAAAGTAAACTAAAATCCCATCAGCCACAACACACCAAAGGACCATCAAGCTAGCTTACCATAGTAGTAGCAGTAAACAAGTCCGCGCCCGTAAGGACAACAAGTACTAGACCCAGAGGGAAAACACCAGCGCCAAAGAGTTTAACCAGGCCGGGCGCGTTTTCAGTGTACCAGGGTGCTGTCATGGCACAGAGCGAGACGCCACAGCCAAAGCCAAGGAGACATCCCGCGGAGACGGCGGAGAGGAAGACCTTGTCGGGACGCATGTTGCCTCTCTTGACGCCAGAACGGGAAACAAGCTCGATTGTTTCTTGGGGCGTGTAGGCCGCCAGGTTGGAGATGCTAACCACGAGAGGATTACTCATGATGAAATGATGTAGCGTAAAGTTGTAGTAGTATATAATTGAAGAATTGTCTTAGAGATTTGATAGAGGTTGAGGTAGGTCGAGCCTTTTATTCAGAGTTGATAAACACTATGCAAGCTTATCGCAGACTCAAGTCCGTCTAGACCCTGTCCTATCATGCCAAGTCAGGAGAGTTATGGATTCTTATCAGCTTGAGATCATAGGCTATCGGACTGGTGGTGAGATGGTTTTGTCGCTGTCATTCATAAACCCAGCCCTAGCAGAGAAAAAGACTCATTGCTAGACCCGGCGATCTCGGCCACTCTCTCCACCATCAGAGCATTGGGAGTAGAAAATCCTGCTGTTTCAGGGCTATTGACTTCTCGGCAGTGAGTGCTAAGACTACAGCGGTATAGCATTAGATATCCGGTCCTATCACACTGACATATACCAGGTCTTCATCCACTTTCTTAGCTCTGCTCAGTGGCCTGACTTGCAGAATACTTTAGACCCCTGTAGTGGACCGAAATTATGCGCTGGAATGGGGGGCAGAGCCGCAGGAGTCCCCACTGCCCTATTTAGAACCTAATCTTTGGGTACCGTCCCGGCGGGCTCCGGTCATTTCTCACCTGAGAGAATTGGGCGGAAGTAATGGAACGATTTGGGTTCACCTTGGGCTGACCGACCCTAACCGCCCCAGGGTCAATTGAGCAGAACCAATTACAGCATTCCAATTCCCAAGTCTCGCGGCAATAATTCACATTCCAACCAAACCTTGGCTTTTTTGCGCTAATCATGGCGGTCTGTCCAGGATCTATCTGCACCTTACATAGCATTACTGTGAAGCCACCATGCATTTCAACATCCCACGCCGCAAATGCCTATTGAATGTTGAAATAACGCATCGGCGGCCGCATATAATGTTGAAATTTCGATGCTTGCGGCCAATGCCGCCTTGAGGTTCAGGTCGTTTTGCGGGCCGCGAACGCCGCAGGTCAGATCTTTTTTTTTCGAGATCGGAAAAAAAAGATGGGGGTTCAGCGGCCGTCAAATACTGCGGGTTATGCATTTCCGAAATGGTGGAGGAATAGGGTAATGCTATTATCTAGCATAATCTCTGGGGTTCGTGATACTTGAGTAAATAATTACTAAATCAGTGCGTAACTAATGACGCGGCGGTATTATATCTTGCGAGATGTTCCGAAACGTGGTGGGTATTCCAGCAGATACTGCCAGTGGCAAATTTTGGTTTGTGAATCCCAATTACGTGTATTTTAACCAAGCTAGGGGAGGAAATAAAGCTCAGGACTTTGACCCTAAACGCTACAATACTTAGGTAAATCTAGCCTAAACTTAGGGGAATCTTTACTAAGTTTATTTTGACACCCTACAGTAAGGTCCAGTGTTTTCTTGTCCCCTGAGGCCAAGTGCTTTCTACTGATTTAAGCTCTCAGCCACTAGGCTCAACTGTATTTCACATTATACACGTTCATACTATCGGGATTGGTCAGGGGCCATGGCGCAACGTCTAGGTTGTCTGGTAGATGCATTATTCGTTAGCTGAGGCCTAAGGCCTGAAGCTTATGTTCGTCAGACACAACTTAGTACAGGCATATCATTTTCTTGCAATGTTTTTATGTCGACCATTATACTCTACCCTCTCACAATTAACCGCCGAGAGGCGCCATAGATGTCAAGAGTCTGTGTCAAAATCGGTTTCATCGGGCTGCCCCCCTCTTCAGCATTCACGGCCTGGTCGATAAAGAGGGTACTATACTATGTTTTAGAATTCAATGGTGGGCAGGGGGGTTGCAATAGTGATCGATAATATAGAAGAGAATTGAAAATTTTATGCTATTGATTGAAGGTTTATAAGATCAAACTTACCTCCCTACTTGTTCTAAACCTCCTTCAGTGAAGCAGGCTTGAGGAGTTGCAATACGTTGACTTGACCATTGTGAATAAGCAAATAAGAGAGCCTAACACTCATATCAACGAAGGTCTAGTGGCCATCGTCGAATCCATTTCTATGAAGACCAATAAACAGGAAGAATCTGTCTCAAGGCTACAGGGGAACAAAGTATTTGCTGGAACCTTGTCAGCCATCTTCTCGAGACAGATCAGCTTGGCCCCTCAAACGCGAAACTATATGGCGATTACAGTTTTCCTTTTGAGAAACTTCTTATTGCAGTAGTCTGGGTGGGCACTTTTTACCAGCGCCTTGATAATACGGACTCTCAAATTGGCTCTCCCCGCAATGCATTACTTATAAGGCTAGGTGTCGACAGTCTGTTGCTTTCGTCACTGATTTGTTTCTACATATATGTCAGCAAATCAGCCATGATAGTGAGTGAGGGACCCTACGCCAGATTGTGACCCCATAAGCTCACCGGCCTGCATCTTGAATGGGCAAATTGGGTGACAGCGCTCTCCGTTTTCATACGCCACGAAGATACTTCGTCGGACTCATGGTTACCACCAGGACCACTCGCTTCGGTATTGGTGAGACCTGACCACTTAAGATACAGCAGGATGACTACATGCATACGCCCGGCCATGGGGACAGCCGACAGATATAGCTAGCCATATGAGGCTGACGCTGAAATGAGGCCTGCTAACTCCACTCAGGTGCATAATCTTCAGATTCTGGCAGCAGCCAATCACTACCTACCACTACAATGGGCACAAGCTGGCACAGACCCTCAATTTAAATTCATCCCGCCACCCATAGCTGTTACGACCTTAGCCTCATTCTGCCTTTACTTGTCTTTGCTAAGACAGCTGACCTATTACCTCTCCCTCATAACGAGACAACGAAAAATTGCATCACGTTCCCAGCTTCATTATGCCTACCACGAGGCCCCAAATAAACAATGAACAATGGCTGCAACAAAAGGAATTCATTAGATACGAGTACCTTGTGAGAAATACATCTCTCGCAAGCCTTCTTGCTCTATTGGCAGGCCGAGGTCTTGCTACAACGTCAGTTTGTCCCCGTTAACCGTCATAATTATTTGCTAATACCAATCCAGAAAAGCACAACTAGAATACCGGCTGAAGCTATGGCGATTTTCGAAGAACCTTGACCAAGAAGTTTGGAGATCTGTTGCAAGAAAGATCAAGAGGCGAAGTGACGTTGGGAAGAAGAGTGAAGTCATACACAATGGCAACCGAATCAAACATTCCAAAGTAATTAAGGAAACGGCACGCCATTGTATGAGCTTATATCAAGAACTCGCTCTTCGTAAGTTGTATGACGGTGTCGAAATTTAGCCTAATAATATCCAGGACCACGATCTCCGAGCCCAATAAACCCAAGCCTCGTCGTTTGCAGTCCATTGCCTATCGAGCAAGACACTGTTTGGCCGCCGAGCATTCCATGGCTCATGCTTCGAGATCTTCTTTGCGATAGTAAGTCACCGTATCTCGATTTTAATACCTATCCAGTAACCTTCGTTCAGACGCAACCAGTTTTGTGAGCCCTAGTGCCGTCAGGGTCTATCGAAGTGCAGATTCCCATGTACTTCTGTCGTCCATAGTACAGGCTTTGAGCCAGTCTCGGACAAACAGGCTATATTGTTCCTTCCAAGAACTAGCAGTCAGTATAGGTGCTTCAATGCCACAATGGTACCTTGGAGAATCTACGCATACTGCCAGTATTCTTCTAGGCAATGAAGTAAGCGAAATCTTGCCTGCATACATCAAGTTTATGATGTATGCATTGTCAAACGGAACGAGATCTTTTGACAGGGCGCAGTGGGACATATTCAGTTCTATTCTGAGAGAGAATATGCCAGACCTTCAGCCAAAACTACGACAACTTCAGAGCCACAGCATTACTATTAGAGCATTCTTGGAGAAAGTCTTCCAAATGGAGATTTACTGGGCAACTCATATTGATGACCCCGCTAATCGCCATAAGGACTATCTCCCCCATAGGTCTTTGGATATAATTCAGATGCTGTTAGAGTCAGGTCTAGATCCAAATCACTGTGTCGCAGAACATAATGTCAGGTTGCTTACACCGATTGGGCGGGCTCTCAACATCGGCCATATTGACCTGACTGAATTACTTCTCTCCTTCAACGTCCGCATTGACCATACACAGACAAGTTTCGACGGACAAAATGCTATCTACACGATTTTGCGCGGACGTCTTTCCAATGCTCTTCAGTTACGGCTCCTCAATCTGTTAAAGGAGTACAAAGCTATCAGTCTAGAAGAAATCCTTTGCGGAGCGCTCAGACTTGACGACATGGAGCTCATCGAAGGGATTTTGCAAGAAAATATTGATGTCACCAAGGGCCACCTCGAATGGAGGATCTGTGAAGCAAATGAACTCGTTGATAAAAGCAACATTTTGTTCTATGAATCCCCTCTTACCACATCCCTAGGGCGGAACTGTCATTGGACTACAAAATTACTGAATCACCATTCAGTACAGAAAGCTCCGTCAAAAGTCCTCACGGGAGAAATTTTCATTGCAGCCGCTATCAGAGGAGATTGTCAAATTATCAGTCAACTCCAAGACCTTTCTCCCTCTGGCCTTACTTGCAAGTGGAATGGCATTACGTGCTTAGGGGCTGCAGTGGCGTATAATAACGTACCAGTAGCTCAGTTGCTCCTCGAGCGCAATGATTGCACATCGCCTGATCTATTACTGATAGCAGCCCATTATGGCTATGAGGATATGGTAAGACTACTCCTCCAGCACGGTCTTTCACCTGATGAGATGGTCAGCCAAGATGATGTGCAGTGGTTAAAGTATTTCGCTGATGGACCGCCTATGCCGAAGAACGGTGGCTCAATCCTTGATACTATTCTTCAAGTCCGTTCAAAGCGCTGGAATGCGTCGAAAGCAAATTGCTTGTTGATTTTGATCGAGGGAGGAGCCCGGCTTCTGGGTGGTGAAATAGCCAGGCTGGCAGAAATTGGCTTTCGAGAGCCATTACAAGCTGCACTTGACAGAGGGATGAGCCCGAACGACGAAGACGAGTGTGGCCGAACCGCAATTCAATGCGCTTTATACCCCTATAGGTATCTTCAAATCGGCGGTTCAAGGCATTTTAACACAGGCTGCGAGGTCAACCAACGATACAGAATCATCAAGTTACTTCTAGAAGCTGGGGCTAAGCAAGTCGGCGAAGTTGTCGATGCCATTCGAGAAAGCGATTATAATGTCACAAAGCTTCTTCTCGAGAATGGCGGTACCTTGAAAGATATCAACGAAAGGGGAGTCTCATGCCTCGAGGCTCTAATCATGAGCTCTAATAATATTAGATTTATTGGTGGTGGCAACCATTGCTTTCACGACAACTACCCATTTTGCGACAGAGAAACGCCGAGAAAGGATCACAATATTCGATTTGGAGTCCAAGATGGTGGTGCTATAGCTTGTACAAGTTGCGCAGCAAGCTGGTTTGATAGTGGCCCGGACGAACGAGATTTTCTCCAGGCACTACTTGAAAAACAAGACGACCCTATTGATGCCGGACCAATCTGCGCAGCGATACAAGTCAAAGACTGGGACCTACTTGATCGCCTTCTTTTACGTCTTCACAAGGAAACAAATTGCCACTTGCTAGAAGGCACAGCTATTGGACTAGCTGCTAGGGCTGGACAAGTGGAAGTCTTGGAGAAGCTTTTGAGTCGATTTCATCATCCATCCGCAATCCAGTCCGGTTTCATCCCATTCCACATCAGCCACGGTCAATTGGTACTACGTCCAAGCGATGACAAATTACTAACGTTTAATGATCACCCATGGGTTTATGACACGAATGACTTCTGGCGTAAGGACCAAGTCTTCGGATTACGAGGAGTAGCTAGTCCCTTGGCACTGGCAGCTTTAGGAGTAGATTCTTCAGGTTTTGAAGCGCTTCTGGCACATGGCTGCTGTGCGGACAAGACTACCTTTACCGTCATAGTGCAAAAGGAATCGGCTTCTGTGTATCTCGATCTCATGAGAAAGCACAGTCAACAGCTTGATACCCGGTTCCCCTCTCAGTCGACCTTAAGCTCAATATTACTTGGCCCGATCAAAAATGGCAACGTTGAGTTACTCAAAAGATTAGTGGACGCAGGCTCTGATGTCAACGATCATAATGTCACAATAGATTCAAACCGATCTCCACTACAACTTTCTGCTCAACTCGGGGACCTAGGTATGGTGCACTACCTGATAGAAAAGCAGGCTGATGTTAATTCTCCGCCATCATTCTCAAGGGGCGGTACTGCACTGCAGTTTGCAGCAATAGGTGGATATATGGGAATAGCGAACTTACTAATAGACCATGGCGCCCGCATTAATGCCAAGGGATCACGAAAAGATGGTAGAACTGCTCTGGAAGGGGCAGCAGAACACGGAAGGCTTGATATGCTAGAGCTGCTACTTCAGAGGGGTGCTGCCTGGTCAAATTATGGACGTCAACAATTTATCTCCGCAGTGCGGCTGGCTTCAAAGAATGCGCATTATGCTATAGTTGATTGGTTAAAGAATCGTTATGGTTGGACAGAAGAGGATGAGGACTTTCTGGAAAATGGCATGGATTATTGGCGAGGTTGGGACATTCGCTGTAAGAATTGCCGATATTTCTGTTGCGACGAGATACATGGCATTGAGGATGACTGCATACATTATTACCCTGCCGATATAGAGGAGGAATGGGCTGCTGAGTGCTATTATTGCAAGTTGGAGGATATGGAAGATGATGAATCCCAGTCCGGAGGTGAGGAGGTTTTATATCAAGGACCAGGACAAGAGCTGGACGATTATGATATTTTCTTTGAGCCGTGGGTAAGCGATTATAGTCTCTTATTTGATTAGTTATTATCATCCTGTTAGTTTTATCTTCAACAGTGCCATATTTCTAAAGGTATAATCTAACTATGAAGTATAATTAAAAAGATTTTATATACCATATTGTAATAAACAGGCATCCCCCACTCCGCCTAGGTGAACCTGGACTACAACTGAATACGGGTAATCTATCAGCCTGCCTTCTGCTTTCGGGGAGCTTAGTTCTTCGGCTGTGAGCATGAGCACCCAGCCACAGCTCTCAACATCAGATAAGATATATAGCCCACAGCTTCCCATTGAAGGAGACATTGGAGGATATTCGGGGTCTACCAGAAGCTTTAGGGCATGTGGGGTTGCGATAGAGGGAGCTTACGTGGAAAGCAATGCCACATTGGTTGATATCTGGATCATACTCCTCAAGCTTGGTGAGGCGCCGTGACACAACGCCTAAATCAAAAGCTTCACCTATCATTTTGGGCTGAAGCATATGGCTCAGAGCTTATCATTTGCAAATAGACATCAGCTACTCTCTCGTCTAGGTGCGAGCCTCAAAGAGGTCCGATATACTTCTCGACATTTGCGGCGGAAGAATAATGTGGCCATTGGCAAATCATCGCGCGGGAGTATTTCTCATAGCCATGCTAGATCCCTCTGAGCAGAAAACATTTGAGTCAACATGGAACTCGCTTAAATACGTGAAGGAATCGGAATGTCACCTGAAACCGTATCAAACATTCTTTCCATACAGGTCGGCTCAACCCCTCATAGGTAAATATTATTTGTCGATTACAGTTTGAATGAGCAATCAAGCATTACAGCGACTCGTGATGAAGCCCTCACCTAGGCCCTAATTCGAAAGCATAAGTAGGAACGGCCCATATAATTGGCCTTTCCCCCTTCAATTCTCTCCATTGGGTGAGCTTCATTCAGAGAATTTGTCATGTGCAGCAACAACTTGGCCCGACCGTCTATGCAAGTTCGACACATTGGGTACTGCAAAGAACAATATTAAACTCATCAACCGCAGAGAAAATGCGCTGGAACAACCTCTACGCGGAGGCTCGACTAGAAATTCTCGACTTCGTCGCCAATTCCACCATTCATGAGAAAGGCTCCATCGCACGATATGCCTGCGTATCTCGAGAATGGCAGGACTGGTTCGAGATCTTCACATTCAAGCGCGTGGAAGTCTCACTGTCCAATATCATGCTCTTCATCAACGCGTTCCTGAAGATCCGCCGTCGAAAATACCTCCAATGCATCGGCGTGAGACTCGATCTGCCGGTTCACAAACACATTCGAGATCCGTTCCTTCATCGAAACGAATTTGCCAACATAAATCAGCAAATGAAAGCCCTTGCGCAGAAAGCTTCTACGTTACACCGCGAATATCCATGGCTGAGACATCAAGAGGAGGAAAACAACCGTGCTTTCACGATCATCTTGCGGGGTTTATTCATGGAGCTTTTCCAGTGGAAAAGGGAGGATTGCCATCACGACGGTATCGAGCTAGAGCTCATTGCCGATGCCAAAAGTCACTGGCAAAAGACTGCGGAAGAATACCTGGCACTCGATCCTCCTAGCGATATTGGCAACGGGACCTTTTATAACAGTCTCTCAAGTGAGCTCCGGGTCTTTCATGCGCCTCCGTATCAGGGACGTAATGTACTGCACGATGCCGAGTTGGACTTTCACTTTTGGCTCAAGCTAGACGGGCCTATCGGAGTAAAATTAGGTCCTGAAGTCCAGGTCATCTCAAGCCTATCGATCCTTCGACGAAGTGTTCGTCATTTTGATCCGGAATCTATCGCTCACATTGTAAGCCTACTTCCGCATCTAAGGACACTCCGATGGGAGGTCAGGCGTCATGCACATTGGGAAACCGAGCATAAATTTCATCGTCATTTGCGAATGCTTCTATCCGCTTTGTCTCCGGATATGGATAAGGTCAGGATCCAACAGCAGCCCATCTCAAAGCCGCCGGATAGTCCTGGGCCGTCTGAACAACTCCCAGGTCTGGGTCCACGTCTGATCCTGTCATGTCCATTTCTCACCAATATCTACTTGGACATTAGTGTCGACATTGCGAAGTTCTTTAGCATGCAGAAATATTTGCAATCTGTTCAAAACGTCTGCATAAGAACTTCCCAGGCACTACTCGACGAAGTTCCCAACACATCGAATCAACTCTTTGGCGGGTTTGGAAGGGCGGTCTCCACTATGCCAAAGCTCAAGGCCCTGTGTGTCTTTAACAAAAACGATTCGGTAGCTTGCGTGATCAACTACCGCGTTGAGAGTAAGGGCTTTGAGGTCGTTGTCCACTGCAGTTGGCCATTTGAGGTCAAAAGTGATACTAAGGCCCACTGGAGAAAGGCTGGGGGACGTCCATCTGACGAGCCTTATTGGTTGCTACTCCAAAATTCGTACGATGGGGTCAAACGTGAGATTATATCGCAACAGCAGTGGCACAGTAATCTCTGCTGAATATGCACATTTGGAGCAAATTTTTCGAATTGCTGATTATAATAAAGAGAAAGTCGAGGATGCGATGCGAAAAGTCTTGAGAATAATAATGCAGGCCTAGGCGCCGTGGCGTGGGGAGGACAAAATCACGAGTCTGCTAGGATCGTTAGAAGACTCCCCAACCTGAGAAAGTTTCACATATCTGGTGCAGGCGCCAAATCTCTCATCTGACTTGCTCTCTATTGTGTGTAATACCCCTACAGTTTATGTTGACGTCCTGCGATGCCTCTATCAATAGAGCATTGCATTAGGGTCACATTTCTGTAACCCTTCCTGCATTCCCTCCCAACAGACTCGTCAAGAGTCGCCCGTTTAAAGCCTTGCTTGAAAATGAATCCAATATGGTAGTTATCAGCATATGTCAAGAGATGGGTTATGGGGGAAGTAGCCTTGATACAGTCTTTCAGGTGATCCATGAGAGCTGCACCATAACCTTTTATCTGCTCCTTAGATGACACAGCACAAAAGGCAACCTCAGCAACATTCCAGGTCCCAAGCTGTCGAAATGTTATCCCGCCGATGGTCTCTTGGGGCTTGCGGACGATGGCGATAGATCGATACTTGGGATCGTTGACGTGACGTTCGATGTAGTCGTTTGACATCTCCGGATATTGATATTGGAAAATGGACTTGAGGCTTTCCAGGGTCTCCATACTATCTTTACCGCCGTCATTATAGACGACCTGAAATTTTACCTCGCCATTTCGCTCTGCGATGACAGCGGGCTCGACAACAGTCAGGGCGGTTCCTATTCGATGGAGTGTCGATTCTCACCTTTTCAGGCACAGCAGTCTTGCCAATCATGTCCTTAGGCTGAAAGTGTAGTACTTGAGCCTCGGCAGGAAAAATGGTGTCAAGTGTTATAGTGAGTTCCTCCGAAGCCGATTGATTCGCGACAGTTGGTGGGTGGCAGGGCAGAGACTGTTTGCTATCCATTTGCAATACTTGACTAAAAGGTCACGACATTCAATATTTAGAAGTAAAAATTAATTGAAGAATGAACCTAGAGCGGGAGTGTTTATATATTGGCTAGAACTTGCAAGCACCTGACCTACCATGTGACCGTGTAAAGTTGTTGGTTGCCTAGATATACATCAACCTGCCTAAGGCTGCCTAAACTCTTCCATAGGCTTACTTAATCCAGCTTAATTGTACCGAGCATCCATATCTACTTAAGCTTACTCAAAGCTACATAAACTGTTCATTCCTGGTGATCTACTAGTCATGCAGCGCAGTCCCTCTTTTAAGCTCATTCACAACTCTCACAGGATATGATATTCTCGGCCCTCAAAAAAGCATATAATAATCAGGCATAATAATAATAATCACTGCCTTCAATACTAGTGACTAATACCCTTTAACGACTCTGCTATACCTATGAGCGGCAGAAAGTATCCCTTCACATCGAAATCCTCCGCAGTCACCAAACAAGGCAGAAGACTTACCAGCACAACGGAATTACGCCACTGATGCTACTTAAATACTCGCCCCGGCAGCGATAAAAATGCAGCCAACGGCCTAGATGATGAACGCGGGGACTAAAACACCATCATCGTTGAGCTTTTTAGCTATACCTTTTAGGCTATCATCCAGGCAATGAAGGCATAAGTCTGCCTTTAGGTCAGTTATGCATAGAGTTCAAAGAGCTGTGGTTGCACTAGAGGTCATCGTCACGGGAATATGCAAGCTTGGAAATTTTATGTCAATTTGTAGTCATTTATCCTATCCAAGACTTATCCCAGGCCAACCATGTCCAGATCATTATTATTGTGCCTGTGCTAACCTTTCCAACCCATTCCATTCTAAGGTATCATGAGTGTTTTGTACTCGTACAGCAATCTTTTCAAATCACCATCTGCGAACAATAGCGCGACGTCCAGGATATGTAGGCGCCACTGTTGCGTTCTTACCCGACACTCCACCAGAGGGTAGAAGAACAGGGATGTCAGGGTGCTGTAAAGCTTCGGCTTCAGCGATGGGCATCTCGCCCGCACCTTCGTGGGGTTCGGCGGGCTGAGGTGAAGCGGGGTGCTCAGCTGCAGGTGCCTCGTGCGCCATGGTCGCTATTGGGGCAGCAGGATGTTCGGCCGCGGGTGCTTCGTGGCCCATTGTCGCAACTGGTGCTGCCGGGTGCTCCACGACGACGGGCGTCTCATGAGCTGGTGCTGCTGGAGCAGCGGGGTGTTCGACGGCAACTGGTGTTTCGTGAGCTGGAGGCGCGGCGGGATGCTCAGGTACAACGGTCTCGTGAGGCGCTGCAACTTCTTCTGCTGGTGTGTGTTCAGGCACCTCCACGACAACTGTCTCGTGTGGTGGTGCCTCATGGGCTGGTGCCTCATGCTCGGGCTGTTCAATAACCACGACGGGATGCTCTTGGGGAGCTTCGACGGGATGAGCGGTAGGTTGAGCAGCGACGTGCTCAGTGACTGTTTGGATGACAGTTACATGCACTGGCTTCTCAACCTCGACAGTGTGGACAACCTCAACAGGTTTCTCAACTTCAACAGTGTGGATCTGCTGAACAGGCTTCTCGACAACCTGAGTGTGCACCACTGTGACGGGTACTTCGACGTTGACAGGTTTCTCGACTTCGACAACTGAAGTATGGACTACTGTGTTCTCAACCACGGATGTATGGATGACAGTCACAGGCTTCTCAACAGGTACCTCAACGGGTTGAGTGTGAATTACTGTGACTGGTACCTGAACTGGGACCTCGACTGGCTGGGTGTGAATAACTGTGACGAGCTTCTCGACCTCAACGGGCTGTGTATGGATGACGGTGACAGGCTGTTCAACTGTCTGGTGCACGACAGATGTCTCAACGACTGTCACAGGTTTCTCAACCTCGACTGGTACAGTATGCACAACGGTAACTGGCTGCTCAATGGTTTGATGAATAACTGAAGTTTCGACCACTGTAACAGGCTTCTCGACTTCGACTGGTTGGGTATGGATGACTGTAACAGGCTGCTCGATGGTTTGGTGTACGACAGATGTCTCGACAACTGTGACTGGTTGTTCAATCGTTTGGTGGACAGTCTCGACAACTGTGACTGGCTTTTTGACCTCGACTTCGACGGGCTGGGTGTGAATGACTGTGACAGGCAGCTCAACTGTTTGGTGAACAACAGAAGTCTCAACCACAGTAACAGGCTGCTCGATCGTTTGGTGAACCGTCTCGATGACTGTAACGGGCTTCTCGACTTCCTGGTGGACGATCGAAGTCTCGATGACTGTGACTGGTTTCTCAACAGGAACATGCGGAACCTCCGTCACGGTCGCATGTACCGTCTCAGTCTGGTGAACAACCTCGGTCACATGAACAGTCTCGTGGACAGTCTCATGAACAACCTCCCCAGGTATCGTCACGTGCACCGTCTCATGGACCGTCTCATGAACAGTGACCGGCTCGCACGCCACAGGCGCAGCCTCCTCGGCAGGAGGATTTCTTCGAAAGAACGACGGAGAAGCAGTCGCCAGACCAGCAAAGACGGAAGCAGAAATGATTGTTGAAAAGTGCATGACAGGCCACTTCGAACCTCGGACAGCAGTATTAAGGATAAGCGATTAGGAAGGAAAGTCGACTCGGCGATACCAGATCGCGTGGTTGATGTAATAAAATGAACGGCAGGTTAATAAATTAAGAAGAAACAAACGACAATAAAGAATCGAATGGGAAGGGATGATCACAAAACACGCTCCAGGCGGAAATAGAGCGAAAAGAAAGAATGTGTAAAGAGAGAGGGAGAGGGATGAAAAAGGCTAAAAGCGCGGGAAAAGGCGAGGTTTTTCTTCGTCTTGGCCATGATGTTTTGGCGTCGCATTCCATCCAGGGAACATGAGACGTGGCTACCCTTCGGCCGGTGTTGAATCCGCTCCAAAATGTCATGATTTTTGTTTTTCTCGCGCCCTCGTTCCCAGCTCGGAAAGTTGGCTCGCCGCAGGGAGTCGTGTTTGGAGGAGGCATCTTGGCGATGTGCACTTGTCTCGGCGTTGATTCAGCTGCCCTCCCCTGCCTGCTGATATCAAAGCACAATAGAGTTGGGTTAAGCTTAAGACGCATAACGTTAAGTCAGATAACCTTACATAGAGCCTTGAACCCCTGTTTGAAACCGTCGCATTGGCGGGCTTGGCGACCTCCTGGCCGATGTTTCCCTGCAGCGGAAGGCCGTGGTCCCGGCCTTGGAGACCCCGTTTCTCGGTTTCAGCCTTGTTACCAGATTTTGTGTACGGGATTGAGGAGAAGTGACTGATGATATACGAACTTGGGATGAGTTGGCGCCTTCACCAACGTTTTGGGTTAGCTGTCAAGGTCTCATCTTGACTATCCTGAAACAAAACCCCGCCAAGTCTTGTATCACGGGTCTTGCGGCAGGAGGGTCGTCGATTGACGTAAGATAAATAGTCTTGGGAGTTCCTTGCGAACCATATTTCTTTTTTGGCTGGTGAACTGTTTGTAGACTGCAGTTCTTGCGAGGGCTCGGCAGGTAGGTTGCCTCGCTTGTTATCTTATCTCGCCTGCCTTATCTTATCTGGAGAGCTCGCAGGCTAAGATATTCTTGGCAATGAAGTGCGGCTGAGAAGCATGGGATTTCAGCATGCTTACTTCGTACTCTTGCGATAATTAGTTGTCCGTAATCCTTCGTACTACGTAGTAACCATCATCCATCACCAGTGTTTGACAGCGGTCCAGGACTCCACCGTACGATTCCTCTGTACTGTCCTTGGACTAATATCTTGCAAAAGATCACGACGCGTTGTCAGTATGAATAGTCTTGAATCATTGGCGCAGACGCAATCTGATCGATTAAGCCGCCTTTCTGGAATTCCTCTTGGCATCATCCTCCAACATCTAGATCTTGCAACATTCACCGACTTACGTCTCACTTCACGCCAGCTGTCCACCAACACCATCCACTCTCGTTTCTTCAGATCCGCCAAGACCGATCTATCTCTTGACAGCTTGCACTCTCTCCGAGATAGAGCTTACCATCCCCAACTGGGACCCGTGCTCCGAGACCTCACCGTGGTTGCAACGCTCTTTGATAGCCAGCCAGCCGAAGCTACTGTCCAGACAAGAAAGAAATGGTCTGGATTCGACAAGGACGAATTGAGGCGTGATACGGAGAATTATCACCAACGCGTTGAGAATCTGCGCGAGAGAAACGTGGCTTGTACGGATGAAGAAGTGCAAGAGGCGCAGCGAGATCTGGAATGGATAAACACAAGAATCGAACAAGATACAAACACGGATGTCGACCAGGTCACTGACTTGCTGACAAGCATCTTTGAAAATGCTACCAATCTTCGAGCTATCAGTTTAGACGCCTGTATCATCGCAGGTCGCACCAAGACCTGCAAACCAGCTGAGCACTATCGATGGTATCGCTCCGCCCACCAGAACTCAAGTTGGCCCTCAATCTGGACAGCAGCATCTCGAACCTTCCGCATCGTCACCTCAGCCATATCCCGCAGCAGGATTCAACTTGAAAAGCTTCAGATCTTTCGCGACACGCCGCTATGCAGTGTACAAATGAGACATGTCGACGATCATTTGAGCACGCTAGGCTCGGAAGGCTTTAGAGATGCTTGCAAAGACATCAAATCTTTCGGAATCAGCTTCTCAACGTATACACTCATTGAAACACCGCCTACCCAAGGGGAGTGTCTTTTTCGTCATGCTTTTGCAGCGGAATTTCGTTACAAGCTTGGTCAATATCTTGAGTCTGGAGTGGAGGATTTCACTGGCGCAGCAACAATTCTTGGGTATATGCCCAATATCACATCCCTCGACATTCATCTCCATCATTTGGATAATCTCCTTCTTCCAGAATACACCAGAAGTTTCACTCATATCAGCCAGAACATTAGACTCGGCCGTCTGAGGGAACTTTCTCTGCGCGGTCTTCCCCTGCGACCAGATGATATTGTTCTCTTCTTAACAAACCACCCCACTATCAAAAAGCTGTCTCTTGATGGCATACTGCTCGTCGGTGGATCATGGTCACCTGTCTTTTCATGCATCGAAACTATGCCTGCCTTGGAGAGTCTTCACCTTGGCTCTCTCAGCACGGAGTACCACCATATAACCAATCTGGATCCAGTGGGAGGCACCCTCGAAGTCGACCTACAAGATAAAGAGAAGTGGGTTGCTTGTGGAGATGGGCATATCTTATATACACGAGATATGTGCAGGGAGGAGATTCGGCAAGGGCTGAATTTTAGACACCAGCCGGGACCTCGAAACATTTGGCGGGACGATACATTGGCATACTTTGACCGCTTTCAGTATGAGTTTGGACCCCCTTCGCGTATACGGGAATGGGATCCGTTGAATGAAGATATGTAGACGCGTTGTTGATCTAGTATGGGGAGAATGACTTACCCTAGGTAGATATTAAATTATCTATTCTTTAATCGGGACCAAGGGTATGCTTTTCAGGAACAGTCAAAGGACTAGTTCTAGGATTACTAGATAGTAATCTCATCCAGTAGGATGTATCCGCGGGGGTCAATATCATTATTCACTTATTGCTACTCGATTTTCTCCGTTTGGTAATTAGTTGGGTTGCCATTGAGAAGCCGCACCTAGTCCAATAAGTGCCGTTGAGAGTCGGAAATGCTTGCTAGCAGTCAAATGTAAGCCTCAGAGGTAGCTATTTCTCTTGACTTATCAAAAATCTTTATGGGCCAGTATATGTCGTTTAAATCGACATTGAAGCTATTTTGTGTCGTTTTCAAGTAGACCCGGATATTGCGACGGAAATGCGGTAACCAGGGTGATGATTTTGAGTTTGTTGAATACGACGCGTTTCAGACACTCACAGTGGGAACACGATTCACTAACGGTGCAATCGTCAATGCCGTGCAATACATTAGATCACGGCCAAATCGGCAGTCAAGTATAGTCAATCAATGTACATTGGTCAAGGAATGTCTATAGTCTAAGTCTAAGTCTACTTTCTAATCGTATCTCGTCAAAGACGACCGGTCGCACCCAATCGACACAGGTGCATCGCCCTCCATAAACATAAGGATCGTTTCGTTATTATTCGCGTTGGATCGTTCGTCATATGCTACCGGTAGCAGCGCGGACTGTTTTCTTCTTCTCTTTCTTTACTGGCGGGTGTTGATTGGAATTCGAGTCTCATTGGAATCTAACATCTATGCCTTAGCTCCTGTAATATTACAAATCTTAGTCAAACAAGTGTTCTTGCGCTGTCCACGAATGGTGTCCAGGTCCAAATTTTACTCAGTCCTGGGTCGCTTCCGGGACTCACCATTCTCTCCCTGCTCATTAAAGTACTCCAGGCTTCCCTTGGGATCAGCCTTCATGGTCTTTCCGCCCTCCTGCCATCCGGCAGGGCACACCTCGCCGTACTCGTCGGTGAACTGGAAGGCCTTGACGAGGCGGATCGTCTCCTCGACGTCGCGGCCGACGGGGAGGTCGTTGACGGTAATCTGGCGGAGGACGCCCTTGGGGTCGATGATGAAGAGGCCGCGGAGAGCGATGCCCTCGTCCTCGATGAGAACGCCGTAGCTGCGCGAGATCTTGGTGGACTTGTCGGCGATGAGGGGGAGCTCCAGGTCGGGGCCCAGACCGCCCTGCTTGCGGGGCTTCTCAACCCACGCGAGGTGGGTGAAGTGGGAGTCGGTGGAAACGCCGAGGACGGTGGTGTTGATCTCGCGGAAGCGGTCGAGAGCGTTGTTGTACTGGATGATCTCGGTAGGGCAGACGAAGGTGAAGTCCATGGGGTAGAAGAGGAGAACGACCCTACAGAATCTCAGTCAGTATATCCGTCCATCCAGGTTCTCAGGGGAGGGGAGCGTGAAATCGTACCATTGTCCCTTAAAGTCAGAGAGCTTGATGTCTCTGAACTCGCCTCCAGGGAAGAGGGTAGTAGCCGAGAAGTCGGGAGCAGGGCGCTGAACAAAAGCTGAAGACATTGTGAAGATTGTTTTTCGTGATATCGATTGAAGGAATCTAGAAGGACGAAAAGAAGGGGAGGGAGAAAAGGTTTAAAAACGAGAAGCTTCGACGGGACGCGACTAAAGAAACGGGACGGCTCAGGAAAAAGCAATCAGTTGTGGAGCCCGTGTTATCAGGGGCAGGGCCCGGTCATGGAACAAGGTGGAAATCATCAAATTTTAGCGCCATATTAGCTGATACCGTGATAAACATCGGTGTTCACGGCTGAGCAAGTTAAAGTAAAAAGTAAATTTATGTAATTAGTGCTATTGACTCACGAAATTCTTAGTGGCACTTCTGATGGCGGTGACGCAAATGTGGACTGACTTATCTCTAGACGGTGTGAATGCCGAACAACGCGTTCCAGAAGAGAAAAAAACACGTGCGGTGCCTGCGGCGTCTGCGGAGACGGTGCAATTTGATTCCAAACCCGCAGCGCCAATCAGCGCTTATCAATCTTTCTCCATCTATATCCGGCCCGGCTTCGGAGTAGCTCGGTTCGGAAAACCGAGCTCACCCTACACCAATCTTATCAGCACACATCTTATCAGTTGCGATATCGCTGTAATTCTTTGGAATCTGATGTTGATCATGATTGTTTCATTATTAATCTGATAAAAGAAAAAGTCTAATGTTTTACTCCATTGCTAGTTCTTGTGCTTTTTGTGGCGAGAAGATTGGCCTCGTGGATTATCTCTGACATGTCGTCCAGCGCTAACTGCGGACTCAATGCACAAATCCTCAAGGCTACTTTTCCTCGAACCTTGGTGGTCAAGATGCCAGCCTTGTTACTCGAGATGAGACTCTTTGAGATACCAGTGTTGATAGTCTCAAGCTCATCTTCCGTCAAGCCCGCATGTGCATAACGGAATGTTATAACGCCCAAGCTAGCAGCGCTGACAATCTCCCAGTCAGGTAGTTTTCTCAACTCCTCCTCCGCCCGCTCAGCAAGATCGAATCCATGATCAATCATTTCCCCAATCCTCTCGACACCAATGACCCTGAGTGTAAACCACAACTTCATAGCCCGCGATGCAGGCCTCGTTAGTTCCATGCTGTAGTTCCAAAAGTTTGGGATATCCTCATCTTCAATCGCTACACCATCACGCAGATAGTCTCCCTCGTTCGCAAAGCTTCGGACCAGATTCGCTTTGTCTTTTACCAAGAGAAGACCACAGCTGTAGGCTTGGAAAAGCCATTTGTGCGCATCCCATGACATGCTGTCGGCGTACTTGAGGCCATCGACTGTCTCGTGGCGTGTCGCGGATAACGTTGCTGAAGCGCCGTATGCGCCATCGACGTGCAGCCAGATCTGTTCCCTCTTACAAATCTCTGCGATTTCGGGTAGAGGATCGATTGCGCCTGTGTTTGTTGTTCCACAGGTCCCGACCACCAAAAATGGTACAAGACCAGCTTTGCGATCATCCTGAATTGTTTTGGCCAAAAGAGCCGGGTCAAGTCTAAAGTCTTCATCGGCAGGCAATCGTCGGATCTGCTCCTTATCGAACCCTAGCATTCTCATAGCTTTCGCAACAGAGTAATGCGTCTGGTCCGAGAGATACGCCACTGCCTTGCCCGTTTCACCACGTGGCACAAAATGATCCCTCGCCAGCACAATCCCCATCAGATTCGCCATTGAACCACCCGAAACACAGACCCCCCCTGCACTGGCGGGAAACCCAACCCTCCCAGCCAACCACTCAATCAACGTCTTCTCAATAACAACAGGTCCTGAGGCTTGAAGCTTCGAAGCACCGAGTGCATTGAATGCACTAGCTACTATGTCGCCTAACCAAGCTACGGGCGATGTAGGCGAAGGGATGAACCCCATGAAGCGAGGATGGTTGACGCGCATGCGGTGGTCGAATGCGGAAAAGGCTTCTTGAAGGACTTGGTCGATTGAGTGGGCTTGGCCTGGTGTTCCTATTTTTTGGAGGTAGGGAACGTCTGAGGGCTGTGCGACTTTGATGATGGGGTCGTTTTCAACATCTTGAGTTGTTGATGCTAAACGTTGGGTTATGGATTGGAGAGCTGAGCATACTGCTTCAAGCTCGTCGTTGTGATAAAGAGAACCCATGTTGTAATACTGCGAAATTGGTTGCTTGTGTTTTCAATTCTTGATGTCACCACGGCCATCTTAAATATCTCCATCCATAATGTCTCCATTTTTGTATTCGCATATATCTCCATCAACCAATGTTACCCTCGCGCCCTCTATGCCCAGATCAGTGGAGCTATTCATTTACCTTGGCATGTCAATCGTGCGCCTTTCGATAAATTTGTAGATCCCGTCAGCATTTCGCAAATGCTTAGCTGTCATAGGCTGTGAAACCTGGAATTAGCGACGTTGGATTATCTGACAAGACCCGTCTTGCCGTTTTGGGTAATTTCTGGAGAGGTTCGGATATCCGAGATCTGCTGATGGAGGGATTTCTAAGCTGGGATGGATTATGGATGTTACTTGATGGAATAGCGAGCAGTGGCGAAGGGGTTTGTTAGCGAGGATGATACACTGGAGCTGGTTTTGTTGCACATGTATTACGGTGATGGCGACAATCTCAAGGCGTATGGTAGGTCTTGTACGGAGGATCACACTGGCATCGCACTGAGCACAAACGTTGCCCAGACCAAAGCACTGAGCGGCTTTTGGAAGGGCTTAATAGAGTAATAAGTGAGTTTCAAAAGCTGTTCATTGGACTCTACTTGCTAACGAGAGAAGGCCAATCTCGACATCGTCTTGGTTCACCACTATGTTTTGATTAGTTCAGAGTCCTCAGGTATCTATCAGGCTGAACCTTCGCTTCCTGTCCTTCTTGTCCTCCAAGACACGACAAGTGCCACTGGAAGCCATTTTAACGAGTAATAAATCCGTTTCTTCCACGCATTTATGCCTAAATGCCACCCAAGCTGAGATATGTCCGCATGGACATAGACGATCTCGCGTGGGAGAGAAACGATACTGAACTGGAGCAATGGGAGCGATCTTTAAATAAAGCCATTATCTATCGCGAAATCGCAAACTTCATCCTCAAGCATCGCCCCGGTGAGGCCGTGGAGCTGCACAGACCCATCAAGGGAGGCTATCATGTCTTCTATCGATTGGAGTATGAGGATGGTACCTCTGCCGTTATCAGAATTCCTAGTCCAGGTATGTATAGCCATCAGACGAAGGCAGCCAGAGAAAGCTAACAGGTGATAAAAGTAACCAAGTTCTACGGAAGAAAAGGTTCGCTATGAAGTCGCAACAATGAGATATGTCGCAGCCAACACCACTATTCCAGTACCCAAGATATACCACTGGGGAACGGCAGAAGAAAGCCCATTGGGACTTGGGCCGTTTATGATAATGGAATACATTGAGCATGACAAAACTTTGTCTCACGCCCTTAATGCTCGAACACTGGGCCCGACGGACTCCCATTCACTCGACCCCAACATGTGGTGGATTCCGACGGGACCTCTTGTTCGCTTCTCTCTTCACGCAGCACGATATCACACAAGCCCTGGCTTCAGGACAGCTCTAGACAGGGTATTTTCGTCGGACAATTCACCTATCAAGACTATTCTATATACCCGTCAACAGCATTACAAGCCGATAGCAGCAGAGTCATGCGCTCTTGCAGGCAGTCACAGACGAGCTCTTAGCCTAGCTTGGGCTATGGTCCGTGGAGGGAAAATCATCATTCTTGACTAGCTCACAAGCAAGTAAGCTTATTTTCTTCTGGAATATTTGTATTTGCTTTCGAAGTAGATAAAAAACGAAGGTCTTGCTGGGAGTTGAGTTGACTACATTGAAGACTTTTTCTAACTACCAGAAATCGTGGGCAAGTATGATTTAAGAAATATAGCGTGCTTTGGGTTATCACCACAGCAGCAGTCTTTCATTGCATCCACTTCTTCACTTTTCTCAGTCGATCCTTCGCATCCTCCAACACACCATCCTCTTTGCATATCGCGAATCGCAACCAATTCTCCACGCTTTGCTGGTTTTGCGGCGTATAGAACTCACTCGGTGGGATGGCAGCCAATCCGAGCTCCATGACGAGGAAATAAGCCAGCTTGAAATCTCGAGGTCGGGTTCTCACATTCTCGGCGTAAGGATAGCCCTCGGACAGGTTCACTTTGGCAAAGTTGACCATGACAAAATATCCTCCTTCTGGCTTTGAGTATGGCAGTCCGAGCTCGTCGCAGACTTGGCAAAATCGGTCGATTTTGCCCAACATGCTCTGTCGAGACTTGTTCCAGAAGTCGTGCTTTTCGGCGTCGTTGAACCCCACGGCGCACGCCTCTTGCAGCGGACTTGGCGAGGTGTAGCAGATGCGTGTATGGGCCGCGGCGACGTATTTGATCAGATGAGGAGGGCCGATGAGGAAGCCAACTCGCCAACCGGTTGCGTAGAAGGTCTTGCCTGCACTGCAGACGGTGAGAGTGAGGTTGTAGACTTCGGGGGATAAACCAGCTGTGCGTATCATTGGTGCGTAATATAGGCTGTCGTAGACCTCATCACTCAATATCAATATGTTGTGGCGAATGGCCAGTTGTGTGATCGACTCAAGCTCGCGCTGGGTAAATACCTTGCCGACGGGATTATGAGGTGTGTTGATAATGATCATCCTGGTCCGTCCATTGATGGTCGCTCTGAGGCTCTCTATGTCGAGTTGCCAGTCACCGGAAGAGGTTGTTTCCAAACTACCCTGGACTGGAGGATGCAGAGGGACATAACGTATAACTCCGCCAGCCATCTCAATATTGCTGATGTATTGATCAAAAAAAGGCTCAAAGACAATGACCTCATCGCCTTGCTCGACAAAGGCCATCAACGCGCTTAGGATACCCTCGTTGGCGCCCGTAGTGATTGTTACTTCTGTTTCGGCATCGATTTGCCTCCCCAGACGTTTTGAGTAGTTTTCTGCGATGGCCCTCTTCAAGCTAGGCTTGCCTTTAGTCGGAGCATACTGGTTACAGTCTACTCGCAGGAGCGCATCTCTGGCCGCATCGATGATGAACTCTGGAGGATTGTATCCGAAGAATCCCTGTCCCATGTTGACTATGGGCTGAACGGGAGACTTAGCTGCAGCCTCGTTGATCATCGACCAGACATCCTGCGTCTCCGTTGCCACCCGCCGAGCTGGGTGAGGTTTGAATGTGCTAGACATGGTGAGTGACCCCATGGAAACGAGTTGAGATCTCTAGGGGTGTTTCGGGTTGGGTCCTGGTTCTATTATCAAAATCTAACTCGGCAACTTGGGGTATCCAATGATGACAATTCAGAATTAGTTCGATATCCCCTGGTAACTCGAGCAATTTCTATAGTGAATAGTAGTTGTGGTGGTAGGATCTAGTTTTAGGAACGGATATAAATAGCTCAAATCAGTGATAAGACTCGGAGTACTGTGCCATTGATTTAGCGTCGGATGGGGACTCGAAGTGGTCGGCTGTGGGCATTTGGGCTACATTTAGGAAGCCTGGAAATCGGGTAGATAGTCAACAGTAGTCTACAGATATGAAGTCTTGATGTAGCCGAAACATGATTGGTATTTCGGGGTCAATTTACGATTCAGATTTCGACCACGGATTACTAGTGAGAGTGGCGCTTGATAAGATTCATCAGCCTCATTAGACAGGCACGAACAATAGCCGAGCTCGGCAAATTCAGTGCGTCCTCGATCGAGAATAAATCGATTTAGGCGAGGGACAAGATTTCATTACTTTCAACCCCACTAACCTGGCAAATTAATCTCAATGCGCTCAGATAAGGAAGCGATTGTGTCGGCTCGTGTTTCGAAGTAGTTCTAATAGATCAACGCGTCTCTCGTGGTATCTTTGCATTGAGAAAGCGGCCTTGAGCGCGGCATGGGCTCTGCGATAGTTCTCCCCTTGCTCGCACATGGTCTCGTAACGCTCCATGATCCAGGTCCGATGCAGGGCATCATCCGTCTCCAAAGCCGTGACAAACAATGGCCACGCGAGGGCAGTCATGACAGCTTTTCCCTCGTCAGCGTAGGTTTGGTGGCCAATGTTTAATATCCGACTCAGCGCGGCTCTCTGTCGGCTGTCAAGCGGCGCATCGCCCCTTACGATGCGGAAGTAGCATAGCACAGCCGCGTGGTAATGTGCACAGATTATTCTAATATTAACGACGAACGTGCGGTGCGGTCCAGATGGAGTTACATGCAGGGTATGAGCAATGTCAAGGAACTCGGCGTAACGATCGGTCGTCGCGTTGAGTAGCTGTGCGACTTGGCGACGGGACTCCTCAAAGACCAACTCATCGCTTTCCCTCAGCGCCACAAGCCGCGATAGTAGAAATCTTATTTGGCCGGTGTTTCCGTAGAGATAAAACAGAGGCCGGCTGTGAACATCCTCAAGTAGCAGCTCGTGGGGAAGTTCATGATCAAAGTCATCACTGTAGGCACGATTCGCACGCTTCTGAAGAGCATCAAACCCGCGAATTAGACATCGTGCGTAATCTTCGTTTGGGTCAGCCAAAACCTCTCCGAGTAGCTCATTGAAGAAACCCCCAAATCCATTTAGAGCAGCGGCTCCGTCCTTGTAAGAAATCCAGACCACAATGCGTGAAGCAAAGTCAGAGATGGTCCAATTTTTGCTATGGACCGTGGGGCTATGCAAATCATACTTCTGCGTAGGGCTCCAGATATAGCTGTCATCGTCTTCGATCATGTCTCGCAATTTATGTATTCGACCTTGAAGGATAGACCCTGCGCCTTTGAGGTGTGCACTCAGCCCCGAACCGGAACCATCTCCAAATCGTTGTTCGTATTCGAGCATTAGCCACAGCGTTGCCAGAATAAGATCTAGTTCCCCAATTTGACCTGTATCCTCTGCTGCAGCAATAACGAGCAACCGCAGTGAGGCTCCATAGTGCTCGGCTGCTCGGACTCTGCGTGCGTGCTCCGTAGATGCATCAAGTTCACATTTCTGACGATCGAGAATACAAGATTGCTGAGCACCTAGAGCGCATATCATATGGAGGACCATTGGACTGTGTATCGCGAGCTTCCACATTGTTGCGAGGACTGTAGTTTCAGGCTGTTTCCGGTCAATAGAAGGAGCTAGAACGAAACGGAAGCAGTGTATTGCCTCAGTATCAGATGCCTGAAGGATCTCGGCACATACTGCTGAGACTTCTGAGGCCGGATCAAAGGCAACATCACTTGGTTGTGCCTCAGAGTTCGATGGCTCTCCCACGAGTGTAATGCTCTGCGAGGCTTGCAGAGGAGATACTTCCGGGGGGCTGACGGGCGAGAACTGATAGGTTATACCATGAGCTGAACCAGATGAACCGGGAGCTGTCCTCTCCGCAGCCGTGGGGTGCACGGCATTGCCCAGGGTTTCTCCATCACTGGAAGAGCGCTGTGGCTGTCGACGTGGCAATGGCTGCTCTTGTAGGGACCCTTGATTACCCCGCGTGTACGGTTTTCGAGCCCGGGACTCGTAATCACACGACCGGTGCAGACGAACGCACCGGCGGCACTGCGGCCGGGTTTCATCACATTTTACTTTCTTTTCCCGACATGTCCAGCATCCCGCTCTTGATCTCAGAGGCTGACGCCGAGCAGGTTCCTTATCCGGGGATGGGCGCCCATCCGGGGTGCTCGACGGCGACAATACCGACTGCATGTTATGTTTCGCGCTGAGCCGATCCGCAAATATCTCTTTGCCGAGTTATTAGGAAATTGTCATTGACGCAAATCTAGAGATTCTGGTTGTTGCAATGATTAGAAATAACCGGTAGCCGAGGGGGCTCTGCTCGTGCGTATCTTCGACTTGATCCACACCTTAGATAAGCGCAGATCTAGAACAAGACTTCCGGGCTAGCTGAAGATAATCAGCTCGATAGCACGGAAGATAGGCTCATCGTGTTAAGCGGAAGCGGCAGGTTTTGATCCGCTGGCTCCGATATCCGTACCCGTGGATCCGGATAATTTACCGTAGAATGAATGAATTCCATTGAAGTAGGTATTTGGCAGGACATGTGACTGACTCAGTGCCCGCAGTCCCCTATCGGCTTGATACTTCAGTTCTTTCAGTATCGATTGAGACGAAGCAACAGTCCCTTTTCCTTCGCCGCGGACAATGTAAAGTTTGTTTCTGCGGAATATCAAGCTGTAGCCGAGCTTTAAGGACCAGATTCAGGAGGCTGAACGACGGCCTCGATCCCACATCTAGTGTTAGATGCGCAACTAACAACAATATGACTGTCACCATGGTGAAAAATGAAGGAACAATTTACTATAAGTCAGAACAGATTTTGAAATTGAGGCTGGACTTTATTCTGACAACGTATTGCGACCCCTGTTCCCACTTGACGTATCTCCACAGGCTATCAAATGACCCCTACAGCTGGTACCTAAAGTCCTTATTTTCCTTCTCCGTGATATCTTCAAGGCCATGACTAACACCGGGGCGGCCATACTTGGCGTCCCTTTGTGCATTCTCGCGTGCTAACATGAATCTTGTCGCTTCACAGACACCAACAGCGATGGCGAAGCAGATCATGATACCAGTGAAAGACTGATTGTACCCCGGGGCGTATTTCCTGTAGACAAAACGTTAGAAAGGATTGAGCTTCCAGAGTCTCCAATAACTCTCAAGACGTGGCGAAAACTTACGCGTTAAAGAGCAGCGGTCCGATGATGTTCCCGAGACACCACGCCACAAAGATCCCAGCTGCCACCACTGTCTTTTTGGTGTATCCAGCAAAGTTGCATGTTCCAAAGGCGATAACCTGGACATAGCACGAACCAAAGAACGTGACGAGGTAGACGCCTGCAATTCTTCCCCCTGTGTTTTCACGGGGCAACTTCCATAAGAGACAACACCCGATGATGACAGGGATACATGCAACACTATAGATGCGGTGTCTCATGTTCTGGAATCGGCGCCCTAGCCATCCTGAACCGATGATTGTGATGAATGCCATGGCGCCTAGAGGGACGTTGAGTAGCAGAGTATGGAAGACATTGAAGCCCATGCCTTTAAAAACCAGAGATGCAAATGTGTTGGAAGCACCGCTCGCTGTGCTGCATAGCATGGAGAGGATGAAAACAGACCAGAACTGGTAGCTTTTCAATGTGTCCCAGATTTGCCGAGGTAACAGCTTCGTATTCTCAAAGCCAGTATTATTCCTCCGAAGCCGAAGAATGGCCAATGCACGTTCCTCCTCACTAAGATATTTTGTTGTAGCCGGCGAATCAGGGAAGAAGGCCCAGATGACGAAGGACCAAGCAACAGTAAAGAGACCGGCAAATAGGTACATAACTTTCCAGCCGGCAAGATGTCCATGAATGCTGCCGAGCCCGTAGTTGATGAGTGGAGAGATCAGATTAACACCGCCGCTGCAGGAATACCAGAAGCCAGACCGGAGAACTTGCTCTTCGTTTGTATACCATTTCGATGTCACGAGCATGAATACAGGGGAGACGCCGGATTCGATGAGCCCAAGAAAGAAACGATTCGTCATGAATCCCTCATACGAGGAACACCCCACCGTCGATGCAACGACAGCTCCCCAGATGAAGCAGATGGCCGCGCAAACCTTGGCGGTGGGTAGTTTCTGGCCCAGCAGGGTGATCTAAAAGCGCCTTCATGTCAGGGTTCTCTTGTTGGATATTGCCAGGTCGCCTGGTGACAGTAGTGGTGAACGCTGGGGACAACTTACAGGATAGCAACCGAGAATGAAGCCACAGTAGAAAATGAGAGTTGCGTTGGAATATCGAAGACCCTCCATCAGGTCCAAGTCTTCCCTCAAGCCAAAGATGGCTGCATGGCCGATGATTGCCTTATCATAGTATTGGAGTGCATAAGTTGCACACATCTAGATAACCCTGTGTAAGTTTTATGTTCTAGTAGCCGCGTTCTCGTGCGCCTTTTGGTCAAGAAAGATCATAGCCACGCAGGAGTTGATTAAAGCGGGAGAGACCTACCAAGGGCATCAGGAGCCAGTCAATTTTCCGGACTAGCTTTTTTTCAGCGACAGCATCTATCTCATCTCCTTCGTGGGCTGCGGCTAGCTTCAGAGCCGTGGTATAATTGTTGACACTTTCCGAGTAGCCATCGTGTACACTGATCTGTTCAGAAGGCATCGCAGCCTCCTTCTTCTGATCCCCAGAGTCCGTTGTTTGTGTAGGTGCCATAGCTTCATTCAAAGACAGCGATGATAATTGTGCTGATCATCAGAATTCACACTCGTGTAATGCTTTGTTATTTGAATGATCCATTCACCTCAGGACAGCCTCGCTTATCTCCGCAGGTGAAGTAGAGTTTTCAACATTCACGATAACGCCTAAGTTAGTCGAGAACCTAGGGGCCAGATCCGCCCTGTTGGCAATTGTGGCGTACCCTTTCTTGGATACTGACACCAATGAGCGATTGAACCGGCCGGCTAGTCTTATCACCAAGCTCGGCTAATTCATGTGTTGATTGATGCGGGACAGCCTTATCATGTTCTCCATTATTCCCTATCAGTCGGCAACTACGCTACAACCTTGGCGGTGATTAGCCGAGTCAAGACAAAGAAAGATAAGTTATCCCGTTGGGGCTGGTGTGAGCAATTCATACGCCAGCGGATCTCATCAGAGCTGGAGCCATCCGACAACTAAATTCTATGCAGATCCCGCTATCGTTTTCAATGTCTATCTTCACTTTGGGACGAGTTGATCTTGGATACCCGCAGACTCAAGCATGTTGTTGTCCAGGTTCCAAAGCAACGTCTCTCCGGTGTTCGGGAGTCAGCGTCTGGCAACATTACAATTCTTCAAGACGCCAAGTCATTCGTCACTGGTGCAAAAGTCGCGTCTATTTGCTTCACAAGCGAGCCAGCGCAGCCGCCATAAGAACAAACTTAGCCTCATAGGAGGCGTCTCTCTGGTTGTCACAGGCTTCGGGGTCGGCGCAGCATTTCTGGAGGTCCAATCAACTACGACGCAACAACCGCAGAGTCCTAAATATGCCAGTCACGACGAGATGCTTCAAGCTGCAGAGGAAATCACAGGCTTCCTGGGCGAGGACGCTGTAACGTACGATGCAGAAGTCTTGGAACATCATGGACATTCAGACTGGAGCACGGCGAACTCCTCCGAAAGAGCGATCGCCGTGGCTTACCCTCGCTCAACCGAAGATGTCTCGACAATCGCCCGAATTTGCAGTAAATACAGGGCGCCGATGATTCCATTCGGCGCCGGCTCGAGCGTTGAGGGCAACTTTGCACAGCCTTATTCTGGGATTTGCATTGATATGTCCTACATGGACCAAGTTATTGCCTTTCACCCGGAAGATATGGACATCATTGTGCAGCCGGGCGTCAACTGGATGGATCTTAATTCCCAAATCGCCTCATCAGGATTGTTTGCGCCAATGGATCCGTCTCCTACCGCCTCTGTTGGAGGAATGGTCTCGACCAATTGCTCCGGTACCAACGCCATGCGTTATGGCACTATGAAAGACTGGGTTCTCAACCTGACGGTCGTGCTTCCAGACGGTTCTGTGATTAAGACGCGGAGGAGGCCTCGCAAAACATCAGCCGGCTTCAATCTGACCTCTCTCTTTGTGGGATCTGAAGGAACCCTTGGGATCGTCACGGAGGTGACGCTCAAACTCGCGCCAATTCCAGAAGATACGAGCGTCGCAGTGGTGTCCTTTCCAAGCATCAAAGCGGCATCAGCTGCTGCATCGGCTTTGATACGGTCTTCGGGGGTCCAACTCGCAGCGCTTGAGATATTAGACGATGTACAGATGCGGGTTCTCAACAAGCACGGGAGTGCAGTCGTGAAGAAGCGGAAATGGGCAGAGAAGCCGACCTTGTTTCTAAAATTCTCTGGTTGCGCAGAGGCTGTCAAGGGCGACGTCAAGCGGGTGTCTCAATTTATCAAACCGTTCACAAGCGACTCTTTCCAAGTAGCTCGGACCAAACAAGAAGAGCATGACCTTTGGTCAGCCAGGAAAGAAGCTCTCTTCACAATGGTGAGCATTCGCCCGCCAGGGACCCGACTATGGTCCACCGATGTCGCGGTGCCGCTATCTCGTCTTGCAGAGATCATAGATGTCTCAAAGCAGGACTGCAGTCAACTTGGAATCTTTGCCAGTGTTGTCGGCCATGTAGGTGATGGCAATTTTCACGTCGCCATGTTCTTTGATCCCAAGGATGCGGAGCAGAGTGCCAAAGTTGGCAAAGCAGTCAAGCACATGATGAGGAGGGCGCTAGAAATGGAGGGCACGGTGTCTGGAGAGCACGCCATTGGAATTGGGAAGAAGGAGTGCTTGATGGACGAGCTTGGCCCGGCCGCCATTGGATTGATGCAAACACTCAAGAAAGCCGTCGATCCGAATTGGTTAATGAACCCAGGCAAGGTCTTCGATCCACCGTCCAACCTCTATGTATAATACCACGCGGTCGAGATCATATCAAAGAGAAGCCAAGTGTTTGGAAATACCCGAGGATCATGCAGTCCAATGAGATCTCGACTTGGGAGGCGATGTATCTCTTGTACGATTGGATAGGGTTTACTATGACCCTTCAACCATTTGTTACTGAAGAATCAGCTTTTATTGACTCTGTGTAGAACCAATTGGCCTTTGATGTCCCCTGAAGCACGTAACCCTTCTTCGAAGGATTTTGTAGCCAGCCAAATCGGCGGGAAGTCAAAGGGATCCTGATAGGAAACGGAGATGCTGTAGGCACGCGGCAGAAATCACTTGAGTGCTTCCAGGTCGTGCTGCGACCTACTGTGGAGTGCCTGTTGGAGATCACACTGCCTGAAGGGCCCTGGCCGATCGTTGTATTAACGGGACGGTTATACAATATGGAGAAAAAGGCGGCATGGATGCCCATGAAGCAAACGGCTGTGACGTGTAAATTACTTTTCCTTTATATTAAAATGCCTTTATCCTCTTTCGCCTTTTTTTTTTTTTTTTTTTTTTTTTGAATAAATAGATAAATAAATAAATAAAATAATAGTTATTATAGCATAAAACACCTCTAGTTATACTTATAGTGGCATTAATAGGCTATTCTATCTTCTTCTAGATATCTTAATAGTTGTATAGTTTAGGACATTATTGTAGGCAGGAAGAGAGTGCAAAATGGATACTGCCTAGCACTTTATATAGCGTGGCAAACCGAATTCAGGAAAATGGCCTAAGGTATCTAGAGCGGCATTTATATTTATTGCGCCTACTGCCGCTATCACAACTGCTTATGTATGTTTGTTCTTCTCTGCACTGAGATAACTAAGAAGGTAATAGTTTCTTAAACGAGCTGAGAGTAGTAAACTCATGTGGTTGTGTCCAGGTAATCTCATCGCTTTTCCTAAAATGCAGAAACTAGCATGTACTAACTTACGCTGAGGTTGTGATTGGACAACGATGACGCTTAGCATCATTCTCAGCGAGGCTTATGCGTCATTTAATTCATTCTTACTCGCTGATCTCACATCTCGATCCTCCACTTTATCAGATATGAATAACCTCAGCGTCATAAATGAAGTCGCTATCAAAACGAATAAGTAATGATAAAAAGACTACGTCATGGTGCTCGGGGTACTAAGAAAGTCACCACGGGATGCTCGACCTGCAAGTAAGGAGGCCCCACCATACGTCATGGCAACATCTTGCTAATTCAGCAGTAGAAGCAGGCATAAGAAGTGTGACGAGGCCAGACCAGCTTGCTCACCCTGTATCAGAGCGGGATGGAAATGTGACTTCGCCTCGTCGGCTCCCCTCGGAGGGCCGCGGTACACGCCAACTCCTCTCATTCGTAGCCTGCGATACCCTCCTGCCAAGCCTTTACTGGCTGGCGAGTATCAGCATATGGAGTACTTTCGGGTTGTGTGCGCTGGGGAGTTTTCTTTATTTTTTGAGGTCGCCGAGTGGGAAGACATCATCGTTCAGGGTACTCTCGCAGAACCAGCATTACATCACGCGGCCCTAGCAATCGGGGCTTTGGTTAGCAGGCGCTACCATCCTGATGTATGGCAAAGCACTCCAGCTATAGTCTTTTCAATACGGCATTACAGCATGGCCATCCTGGCTCTCCAAACTCGGCTTGATGGATCTCCCCGAAGTATAGAGATTGCTGTCTTGGCGAGCGTTCTCTTTAGTTACATCGAATTTCTTCTAGATATCGATAGTCGGATCGAGATGCACATCCAGGCTGGGTGCTCCATGCTTGAGAACTTCCTAGCGAGGCACGATATGACACTCGCTGCTTTTAGTCGGGACAGACCGAATTTTGAAGTTGGCAGTTCATCTACTAGGTATCATCTACTTGCTCGTGCTATGTATCAGCTTACAACTCAAATGACGTCTTTGCGGCATTTTGATTGAATAATAAAAGTTCATTAATAGTTGATTCTTATCAAAATATAGATTAATTGGGTCTAGTTTACCTGACCTCAAAGGCTTCATACAAAAATACTCCAAGATATAAGGTCAGAAATTGCTTACTGGTCCAGCTTTCTACCATTGGTCAACGACGCATACATGAATGTGGAACACCGTAACCAATCGCAGTCTTCAAAGCGTAACTTTCGTGTTTTGATTCGATGACCAAACCCCAAGCCAGACAGAAAAGTTGCATTACTAACCTCAATCGGCAAAAAGTGTGATAATTCCATTGATTTCCCTGCTACGCCACTGCTGACAGCTTGGTAGGTAAGATACTTCCTCTGCAGTTAAACAAAATCAGGAATCTGTAAATGCCGAGCGTTTCGGTCTTTTGCTAGAGGGGACTGGCATATAAATATAGGCATATGAACGCGTCTGATTTTCAATATTCCAATCCTTCGTTCTTCACCTCCAAGACCGTACATATATAGGCCCAGCAGTTTGAACTTTACCATCACTAGACGCTCATCACACGGCAATTTACAGCCTGACCAATAACTAGAATCAACCATGGTTTTCTCCCACTCAACTCATACTACAAACCGCGCACTCACCTACTCTTACATTCATATCCCGCCCCAGCTCCCAAATACTCGATACCTTCTCTTCCTACATGGCTTTCCCTCTACCTCGTATCACTGGCACCATCAGATTTCTTTTTTCCAAGCGAAGGGCTATGGCATCATAGCACCAGACCTACTTGGCTTCGGGGAGACCTCAAAACCGACTGAGTTGGAGATGTACAAAGGTGAGGATATGGCAAATGATATTGTTGAAATTTTGATATTAGAGGGCGTTGAAAGGTTGGTCGGCGTGGCACATGACTGGTATGTTAAGCTCATTTTTCTTTCTGGTTGTCGCACTCAAATCACTCTAAATGAATAAAAGACTGTAACGATGCTGAACCTTCATCGTCCAGGGGCTGTTTCCTTCTGTCGCGACTAGCGAATTATCATCCTGATCGCTTTTCAAGCTATGTGTTCATCGACCACGGATACATGCCCCCTGGTCGTAGCCTCACTACCGCAGTGGTACAACACATCAATAGATCGGTGGAAGCAAAACTCGGGTTTTCGATCCTTGGGTACTTCCTTTTATTCGATGACGACGATGCTCCTGGACTTCTAGATGAACATGTAAGTTCCTTCCAATGCTATTAGACTTTAACTTGCTAACCTATTGGAAAAACTGCAGTCCGAATCGGTAGAATGCCTATACTTCAGTACCGACGAAGAGATCACCAAGAAATACAAGGGCGCTCTGGGCGGTTTACGCTCTTGGTTGACTGAGGGCAAGACTACCAAGTTGCCAGCATATTTGACATCAGAGGTAGAAGTTCGACTCATGATGTGATGTCACATGAAAATTAACGTGCATGGAATAGGATCATAAACATTATGAACACGCATTCTCCAAGGAGAAAGGTGGCTATGGACCTGCGATAAACTGGTATAGAGCTGGTCTGCGTAATATTAACGAAGAAGATGAGCAAAGTATGTCATTCCCCCTCCATAATTAGTATCTAGTCCTATTTCCTGCATCTTCCAATACCTGGACATTACTCTCTGGCACCTCCGATTTCATATTTTACTAACACCATATCAGAAATCACAACGGCTGCCCATATCCTAACGCACCCAACCCTGTTAATCGCGTCGACGAACGTCATTACTGCCGCAATGAATATCCCGCAGCAAATGCACCCATTCGTGCCTGATCTCACAGTTGAGCAAGTTACTGGTGGACATTGGCTGCAGCTAGAGAAGCCAGATGAGGTGAATAAAATTCTGGATACGTTTGTAGCAAAAGTTGGAAACTGATTGAATCGACTGATCAAACATTGGAAGAGAGCTTGAGATTGAGAGATCTCAATATTTCTTGCACCCCGATAACGCTTTACAAAGAGAGGGTTCCATAGTAGCTTAGTATTTTATCTAATTTATGTGCCGTTCGCGCCTCGGAACTGCAGGAACTCGAATTCAAGTAGTCTCAACAGCTGTGGCCAAATCTACAGATAGATTTTGAGGTCCCTTTTGGCTTTTTATTGAGGTCTGTGATGCTGATTTGACGCGGACGGGTATAGCGTCGTGAAGCAGCCCACAATTCTCGAAGTGTGCATTGACTCGCATGTCCTTCCTCCCATGCACCTCGATTGAGAAACTCGTAAGAGCGTGTATGTCTGACGAATCAGAGTTGGCTCTGACCGAGCTGGAACGGCAGGATCCGAGGATCCATAGATCTGCGGGAAGAAGTCCGAAAAGCAGCGCCGTGTTAGGTCCAGCTGACCCGGCCAGCCGTACATGGTCCTATCGACAGGGAAGGAAATATGAATGGGGAACCTTGGCGATCAGTGCTTTCTTTGGGAGTTAATCGAGGGAATAGAACCCCTGTGCTCTGTGTTTTCAGCTAGTGCTGACTCTGCTGATGCTACCCCAGTCCTACGATGATGTCTACAGTCCGTGAAGTGATAAGTCTAAAATGTTAAGTTCAAGCTTAAATGGCACTTTTTGATCCAGTTTATCCACATCAATTATCTATGTCTGTTTTGTCAAAAGAATCTGTTGACTTGTTAAAGCGAAAGTAATTGTAAAAGCCATGGTGGTAAACCAGAGCGGCTGACATCGCTTTCTAACATCACCAGAGAGAAACATTGACTGAAACAAACCGTAGATAGTCCTCGAGCCGGCAAACCTTAACCATAATAATCCGCAACACGAGATAGAAAAGGATTAGAATGTAATGAAGGATTTTAGACGACGTCATCACGTACCATGTCTCTCTTCTTGAAATGCCGCCGTGCCAAGCAAATGCGCTGAGAAACAAGCTCTTTCCATGCGCTATGCACTGGGGACCAGCTCTCGGACCCTCGCATCAGCCCACTAAGGTAGGCGAGCAAAAGCGTGACAGACAATGTGCCTGGGCTACTAAGCAGTCCAGACAACCTCGTTTCAAACAAAGATGCTACCCGCCCATGACGGCATTACCATATGGCAAGAGTTGACTTTGCCTGTGGCCGAGAGAATTGCCTCCGTTGACTTTTGGACCTGCTGCGTACTCACAGAAGAATGTATGCAAGGAAAACACATGACCTCTGAACGACAAGCTGCTGCCCGTTGTAACCTGTATCACATCAATCACTTTGCATGAGCCATGTTCACTTAATCCTGACCTCTATTGTGTTACAATGAAGGATTGCTGACAGGAAGTCGGCAAGTTATCGTCTCTTGGCATTAAAGCCTGTGCTAAGAAATCGGGAAATGAGGCAATTCTCCGATGATGCAGCAGGATATCGAGATCAAGCGCTGCACTGCACTATGGCAGCCAATAGAGACTCAACATCTCGTCTAGGGAGCGGGCCGTAAGACTGCCAAGGATCTCGATGGCGAATGTGGGCACTCAGCTCCATGTAGATCTCAGCCACTTGTAGCTATTCGAGTCTAACCTTACACTTAGTTGCAGTCTGATCACTATAGAAGATTAGTTTGTGAGATATCACAGCATGACCAGTCTACCTCTTGAATCATGTGTCATGACAACTGTGGAAGGATTCGCTGTGCTGCCTTAGTCCGTTTGAGGCCGAATCCGGGTTGAAGCAGGTTAATCGCGCTGCTCCTACAGCTATCGAAGGACCGGTAAAGTGATATCTGGGGGAATATAAATATGCGTTGATTCCCCAATGCTTTCACTTGCTCAGCAAACATTCCAATCAACTCATCCCGAAGTCAAAGAAACAAGAACTTCTGAACCATCTTTTACCTCCAACACCTACGATGATCTCAGTAAGTCCTGGAATCAACCATGTGACAAGCAAGGAGAGACTAATATTATCAGCTCCGATCCTCTTTGGCCCTCCTCGCCCTTCCAGCTCTAGCTGCAGCAGGCAATGTCTGTCTCGGAGTCTTTGCTGTAGCTGGCCTCGGCGACGCACCCCCTGACGTATACTACGTGGCTTTTGCCGCAGGATCCCCATGTGACGAAAGCCGGTCAGCCAGTCTGACCGATACTCTCAATGAGAATTGGTGCTCCATCGCCAACCGCGCACCTCAGTTCGACATGTGCGGCAGCACGGCCACCATCTTCAATGCTGGTGAACCTATTGGCGATGACGCGGACTTCAATGACTGTGGTGCCAAGTTGAGCATCAACGGGGAGGAGTTCGATGGGGAGGTTCTTGATGATCTGGCGGAGGATAACCCTTGCAGTGCTACGTGCAACAACGGCATTGCCTTTGGTAATATTGGTGGTTTGAGACATTATGTTGATGTGCCCATGTGCGACTAATGCACTTGGGGCTTGCTTAGATGATGCTAAGATAGGACTTCATTAGATTGAAGATGACTATTGGAGATCACGATTGCCTTACTCTAAAAATATGTATGTAGCAATTGAGGACTGTATTAAGAATAGAAGAATTTGGCTATAACGGGCGGTGATTGCGACAGTGCCAGACTGTAGCCTGCTTACATGTTCGACGCTGGATCTAGCTGCATACTCGATTCTACAGTTTGGAGAATGATTGGGTAAGCTTGAGGAACACACTGCCTTTATTGGAAAAATAACGAGTCAGTCTGGAAGAACGGCCTGTTAAAGAATCTGTATCCACGATGTTATGAAGGTACAGTGAGTCTTGTCGCTGTCGAGACCTGAGAATACAGGCTAATGATAACAATCTCGCCATTTAAATCCAGCGTAAGAGTAATCTACCTTATGCTGAGGCCATCGGGATGCCTTTGTAGATAATGATAAAGGCCCCATACTAGTCTGTCTCCCAATCTTGCCTCTTATCCGTTTGCCATTGAACTTATATCCTGTCTTTCCCCCTCTCTGCCATCTCTGCAGACCGTCCTTGTAGGACCGTAACTAGACAAAAAGCGTACTATCACTCAGATATATTCGCTCATGCATCAAAACTGTCTGTAGGTCAATCCACAGTCGCATTGGCAAGCCAGTGGCAAGCAGCTACCAGGAAACATATGATGGCTACGAGTCCGAACCAATGTGGGCAACCTGTTTCCGGATGGTCCCCACCATAACGCCGCTGCTCCGTTCTTGAATAGATTTGCTGTGATGGAGCATCGCCGTGCCCCGCTAGCACAGATGGCCGGAATTGATGTACCCTGCTTGGATAGTGATAGTCTCTCGCGGCGTTTGAAGTGGTAGAGACCGTAGCATACGATTGGGGAACTGACGCCGCCGAGCTTTGGATGAATGTTCCATAAGATACTGACAGAGGGGAACTAGATGTCCTGGCAAAATTCGTACCACGACCGAGGTCTTGGGTGAGCTCTTGACCTGGATGGGAAATACGGACAGGCACAGGAAGCTCGCTGTAAGTCGACTGGGCTACCCGCTCGAATATGCCGTGGCCTTTCAGTCTAGCGGCCAGTCCCCCGAGATTCTGCTTCCACAATTCTGAAGTAAGCATCTGGTAGGAAGATGTCTCCAAGTGGAGATCATTGTCGCGCCAACAGGAGCGAAGTGCTACAAACGGAATTTCGTGAACATCCCTGATATTAACATAGGACCGCTTTTTCATCGTCTTTCCGTGTGCAGCGATGAGATCGCTGCGGGTGTCTGGGTGTCTTGCTGGACGTATTGGGAGGTAAGATTGCCGTCGGATGGGATCTGGATGACGATTCTCGATTGGGGTATCGTCAAAACTCGTCACCTAGCGGCGGTGTTTGTTAGCAATGCTATACGCCAACGCAAGCTGTAACGACGGAAATGCGGAGACCGACAACACAAACAGCCACTTTTCCATGATATATCTCCTTTGAGAGGATAACAACTGGATGGTTGAAAATGCCGCTTGTGATAGGCACGGTAGTTGTTATCCTCGCCTCAACCTCCACCCTCTTGGGCAGCATCATGATTCGGCCCTCTAGATGTGGACATTCTCGAGGTGGATAAGTGTCAAACATGGCCAAGAGAGGGACTTGGTTCAGAAGGGCGAGGGTAGCATTGATCTTGTGCTATGTGAGTATTCGTAAAGTAACTTCAACGTGATATGATGATGAATTGGCACCATCCCCAGGCCAGATGGTAACTTGCAGACGATGATAGCATGCCGAAAAATATTACCGCTGGAAATGGTCAAATGGAGATCGGCGCAGCCTGAGAAGCTGGCTAATGATGCGACCTGCAGCCACGCCAGGTAAACCACTCTGCCTTGGAGGCGCCAAGTGTAAAAAGTAGGTGGGGAAGCGGTCGAGAACTGGCCAAGGATGCAGGACTTCGGCGTTGTGTCTATGGCCCATTGGTGTTTAATGTTGGGCGGTTAGCTTAGCCCCAATAGCGTGGCTTGAGATATGCTGTTGGTCGATGCGATTCTGGTAGATGAGGTGGCGGAGTCAGAAGCTGATTGGTCTGTCAGCGAGGGAAGAGAAAAGAAAAGCATCGTAATTTAGAACATCAGGTCATTTCATTCACAAGGTTATCTACCAACTCGGAGAAGGACAAAAATTATGTGTCACGCCGAGATAACCGAACCTTCGTTGTAGCTACTTATAAGACCGTAAATAGTAGTAACCTACACTCCATAGTGTATGTACGGTGCCCAATCCGCCGACCCAAGGTTATTGTCCAAACCACCGATCAAAGATGCGTCTCTGGCTGACCGCGACAGAGATGCCTTGGCCGCATCATGGCTATTAGAGCCAGTAGCAGTTCTTAAACTCTGACTAGTCTCATGCTTCTCTATCCACCTTCTCCTCAACTCGCGAGTTGCTCCGTGTAGCCCGCGGCAGATAGACTCATCAGATAAACCCGAGTTCTGTAGCTCCTGGTATGTCATCTTGGCCATCTCAACTGATAGATCATCTTGCACATTCCATAAAGTACCAATGACATGCCTGAACCCAGCGATCTGGCACGCGCTGATGAGGTTGATGTTCTCGTCGAAGGATGTCTCATCTTTTATCTGGCCAGTGCCGCATGCTGAAAGGTATGCAAGAAAGGGAGCGTTCTGACGAATGTTTATGTCTAATAGGTCTGAGACCTTGAGCGAATCATTCTCCCAGTCTTCTAGAAGCAGAGAACTCTCCGATGGATCCTCTGGATGAGCCAGGCCGTGACCAGCAAAATGGAATATCCTGCATTCTGGGAGATACCGAACAACCTCTTGCTTAGTACGTTGGGGTATGATTGACTTCAACTCCATGGAGCGGAAGATACCATCTATCAATTCTACTTCTTCGTTGGCAAAAGATAGCGTGTCATGGCCTGGCGTGTGCTCCATCGCAACGAGCAGTGCCTGGTCAGAACTGGATGACTGGAATGAGTCTCGCCGGCCACGGATTATGTTCCGGATCGACGATCCGTATGATGATATGACCCTATCGAGGACTGCCTCGGAACCTTGTTGTCTATGGTATCCTGCTGCATGGAGCGGAAGCTGAACCAAAGGACCGGTTGGAATCCACCAGACATGAGGCCATTCCTCCATTGTCGGAGGGTCAGTAAAACCTAGCATGCTGAGTATGGGGCTCATGATGGTATCCCAGAGCCACTCGAGGGTTTGTGAAGTTGCGAGAGTCCAAGGCTTTACCTTTCGCTCAAGTTCCTCCAGAGATATACTGGGTAGCTCCAAGGTACCAACTTGGCTGTCTGCGACAATAAGAGCGTCGCAGCGAAGGCTACTGACGTTGATCACCACGATCGGGCCGCGCTCTGAAGCACCATAGATCTCATCTTCCGTGTGGGAGAGCATGAAGTCGTCAAACCCAGGCAACTCCCGGATTTCAGCAGCCAACTCACTGAATTCCCTGGCAGCAGCGTGTCTTCTGTTAATCGAAACTTGCGACTGCGTGTCTGTGACTCTACCATGCTCGGCACGTCTGTCCAGCTCAGCTTGTAAAGAGCGATATCTCTCCGCTAGTCCCGGGTGCTCCTTCGCCAGATCTTGCACGTCGCTACGCATGTCCTGGAGCGATGATCCAATGATACCCCGACCTTGTTCCAGCAGCTGTAAGGCCGTCATTGGGGATCGACCCGCTTGCAACGCTGCTGCTGCTGCGTCGGAGGCTAGCCCGACTACTTGAGTGAGTACGTACTGTCTGTCCTGATTCTCGTGGGACCATGATACAAGCTTAGGGATGAGGCTTACAGCGAGTTTTGCAGTATCGTAGAGCTGCTGGCTATTTGAACAGTTGGAAAGAATTGCTTGGCCGGCTTTGACGCGATCTTCCGTCGCTGAGGGCTCGTGGTGAAGAGCTCGGTCGTAGTTTGCGATGGACAAGTCTAAGTCATGTTCGTCTCCGGTTGCGGTATAGAGGTTCAGATAATGGTTGCCAAGGCTGTTCAGCCACGCTGCCCTGAGCGCATGGTCCTCTGATGTCAGACCCAACGCTTCCTCGGCGCTGCGAATGGCCTCTTCTAGATCGTCAAGATCTTCCGTGTACTTGTATCGATCACCCAGCTGATTGCCTAGAATGTTCAAATAGTCTGCTCTCTCAGAGTGGTCCACTGGCATTATTTCCAATGCTTTCCTCTCAAGTTCGATAGCCTCGTCGACATCATCAAGATCCTCTGTTCTTGAGAATCGATCGCCTAATTTTATCGCAAGGTTGTACAGTCGCTCAGGCTTCTCAGGCTCCAGATCCATAGACTGTCTGGCGCAATCAATAGCTTCGTCAATGTCGGCAACATCATTTGTCCTCAAATACTTATCGCCCAGACGGTTCCCTAGATTTGTCAATGTGAAACCTTCCTCATCACCATTCGGCATTAGCTTGAGTGCTAGTCTCTCTAGGCGTATCGCCTCTTCAAGGTCTGCCATTCCTTCAGTCTTGAGGTATTGACAGCCGAACAGTCGTCCCAGACAACGTAGCCATTTAGGTTTCCAATTGGTCTCGGGAACCAATGCCAGTGCGTCGTTAGCTACCGAGAATGCCTCCTCGAGGTAATGTTCATCTTCGGTTCTTTCATGCAGAATACAAAGATGGCTAGCTTTCATGATCATCCACTCCATCCTCCCAACATCCGTATCTGATGAATCAGTGATCTGCTGATGCAGCCTAACGCATTCTTCCAAATCCCGTACCTCGCTGGTCCATGTATACCGGTTGTATAAGGCTCGGATCAGTTTCTTTGCGCTTAGGTTCCCAGGCTTCACTTCAACAACCTTTCTCAAGATCTCGATACTCTCGTTCAAGTCTGCGATTTCCCCTGTTACTTCTGCCCTCTCGTCAAGCTTTGCGCCTAAAACAAACATCCAAGCCGCCATCAGCGAACTATTGCCGGGGTCTGTGGCGTCAATGGAGAGTCTTTGGTAGCGAATGACCTCATCGAGATCAGCAAGGTCTTCCGTCTCCGCGTACTTTTCTTCGAACAGAAACTCAAGTCTTCTGAGGAATACGGTCCTTCGCGGATCGCCTTCTGATGTAAGATCCAAAGCCTGAATCCCAAGCTCTATGGCCTCAGTCATATCTTCGAGATCGTCTGTCTCTGCAAATCTATCGCTGAGTTCATTGCTAAGTAGATGTAATTGAAGGGCCTTGTTCTGACGATCGTTAGGATGCGTTAATGCCAATATCTCCCTTCGCAGCTCAATAGACTGATTGAAATACTGCACGTGCTCCCCGCTTGCGAATTCTTCTCTGAGCTGTTTGATGCGATCGGTCAACACGGAAATCCTCGCTTCGTTGTCTCGGATGCTCATCTCTGGCTTCTCTACCGGGGCATTAATCTCTTGCACAGATTCCATGTCCTCAAGGAAATTAACGGAGGTTCGCAGGGTTACAGGAGAGGTCACACTGCGCGCTTAAGATTTGGCGGAGAGGATTATAAAAGCAAATAGACCCGTGGATGTTAAGCTTCAATTCTTAGCTACATGCAAGTTCAGACATTACTAAACAAGGTGTTGAGTATGCACTGCAGATTGAAATGAACCTAAAAGGTACTGTTACAATGAATCTAGGCAGCCAAGCCACTCGCCGGCATTGACATTTAGGCTATACGCATGACCTGATACCGCCAGCCATTCTTCTAGACAAGGCCTCCAGTAGGTCAGTCACCTTATCTTGGCGATAATCATCTTTGCATAAGCGAGGATTACTACAAGCTTGGTCAGCCAGCCATCGGCTTGCACTTTGAAATGGGCGAGGGTGCTTACGAAAAAGAAGGCCTCCAAACAGGCAGCAACCAAAAGATGGCGAATAATTGTTCTATCTTAGCAGTTGTGTAACCACCTACATAATGTCATCACCACTAAAACAAGAACCTTACCCTCCAATAATTCCGATAAGGCGGAAGAATATTGGTCGCTGATTCGACGCAGGAATTTCACCTACCATCCAACCATTCTGATAGGTGGGAAAATGCTCATGTTGCATTAAAGCTACCCGTCTGTTGCTTCTGCATGACGCATCGCTTAGTACCTCTCTGTGATGTGTCGCCTATTGTTCAACAGGCCGACTGGGTCGCAAGACGGCCGAGCCGCATTCGCTGCTGGCTTCTAAAATCTTAGCTTCTGGGCTTAGCCTGCACTACTTTAACTCCTGGATCTACTGCTAGTGCTGTATTAGCCTAGGTAACAACCTCAATTGGCCCCTCCGCTCTCAGTAGCAGCGAATCTGTTTGAGTTTACCTCCACCATATTCACGATGGGAGATGCGTCAGACGACCAAAAGGCTCCAATCGAGTCAAGGTACGTTGTTTCCAGCACTGAGGGGCGCCACTGACCGTTGCATAGTCAGCACGATGCGCCTGAAGTACAGGTGATTGACGGAGGTCGCCCATCGATCAGAAGCTTTGCTACGGCACGTTACTCTGACATTAGGTCCATACTTGGCTAATCTCCCTTAGACTACGAAGCTCAGACCGAATGATATAGTCAGGGTACTATCAAATGGATCGACATACACCGTGTCGGAAGTACGGGGAGGAAAGTACATCCTTTGCGATGATAGCGGCAAGGAGGTTATGCAGGGGCGCGAGTATGATGAGAGTGAGTTGGAATTGGTGGATGACCCTTTCTAGATCCTGTTCACGGCGGCATCTATGCATATACCAAGGGTAGTAAAATGCTAGTTAATAGATGTCCAAACTACGAAAGTGTGCGTTATCCACGCCCCCTTATTTCCAGCACTCCTCATCCTTCCCCCAGTACTCAACTGCCTGTTAAGATCAGAGAGAATATCTGCGCTTGCAGAAGAGTTCCTGAAATTTGACTTGACATCCAGTCCTGGCAGAACCATACCCGGAAATGAAACCGGCTTGTCTGTGATAAAGACCTTGATAACATCTCGAGCGCGGCCCTGCAGACTCAGATGTTTTGGAATCGTCATCTTCAGCTTCATTTCCTTCGTGCCCCGATTTTGGCTGTGAGCCGGTGGGATAAGGACATAGTCGCCTCCTCCTGAAGCTGATATCAGGTTGCTTACAGCCCAAGAAGGAGAAAAGTCAAAGACGGCCATGTATAGAGGGTGGTCTGCATGGTTCTCGATGATGAATCCAAAGACCTCACCATCTAAAATCTTATAGATTCCATTTGTGGCGGAGTCCAATATTGGCTTGAGCGTGTACTTTGCTCTGAGCTCTGTGGATGGAAGTAAATTGGCCAAGCCTTCGAAGAATTTGAAAGTCGCAGCATGTTGAAGAATCTCCCTCATTTTAGGAATTGAATCGTCTAAGCTGGCGTCGAGTGAAGGTAGCTGAAGCATGTTCTCTTGAGCTTCACCGACAATTTCGTATTTGTTCGATTTATTGATGTTCAATTCAAACATACAAAGATCCTTTTCATCCTTGTCTGTAATCATCTCGAAGTACTGTAACACATTTGGTTTATCTTCCAGCTGCGTAATTTGTGGCAACTCGCCCGGAAGCCATACCTTGATGCGTTGAGATGAAACAGTCGATAACTGAGTAGCATTCAAGGTCCCTAGATCTTTTAAGCTAAAGGGGAAGGCTGGTGATGTTACTTTTCTGGCCTGAGCGACTGTCAACTCAGAGTCGAAAGCCCAAACATTAGAGACCGTGAACTTAACCCTCGAATGAGAAGTCCGGCTCGAGGTAGTTGGGAGACTGTTCTGAACAGTGAACTCATCTCCGACTGAGATGCCATGGACTCGCCCCGCCTTTATAAAAATCCTTGAACCTTCTATCTTGCATACCGGCAACGCAGTGAGCGAGACTGGACCCAGAAGTGTCCCAAAGAAGGAGAGGTGAGTATTGCCGTAGCGCATTGGCGTCTGGCTACAGCCTGACGCCTGCATCAGAGAAACGACCGTTTCATGGAGCGATTGGTGCGATACAGCTTCTTTCACTTTTGTCAAGGTCGTAAGGGCTTTGAGAAGGTGATAAGTAAGGGCGCCTCGTTTCTGGGACTTGTTGACCAGAACTTCCATGGCCTTTTCGTGGGGACCACAAGCCGTGATAATCGTGTAACCTTCGGGATTGACAAGCCAATCTCTACCAATTCTTGCATCGCGACCGGGGATGCCTAGGGCATCTTTGCATTCTTGCTCTTGTTCAGTTCTGTCGGCATCCAGTGAGGGGTCGTATTCCATAGCCCGGACTCGATCGCCTCGACTGACGGCACCTGAGAAACAGCAGTCCAGCGCGACGGTGACAACGAGACCTTTGTCGACCATTCTCTTGAGAGCCTGTGCTAAAAAGCGCCCGCGAAAATAGCTCGCACCATGCTCCCCATTTTCGTATAGAACAAGACCTAGCTCGCCGAAACCAGTTTCGCCAACGTTGCCATCCGATGGTAATTGAGTACCGTGCCCTGAGAAGTGGATGTAGACGTGATCGCCGGGTTTCGCAGAATCAATGATTAAGCGAAGCTGCTTTAGAACATTTGCCCTGGTTGGCCTCTCATCGGGCGTCTCTGGTGGATCTTTAGTGGATTGATGATCCTTCGGTACAGTGGCTGTGAGCACGGATGTGTGAATTGCCGTAGCGCTGTGCTGCTCTAGATAGGCCCTGATGTCGCTAACATCATCGACACTGCCATTAAGATGTCGATCTTTGGGGTAATAATTGATTCCAATGATGAGCGCCCAGCGCGCTGAGGATTCTTTAGTGGCTGCCATTCAAATGATTTCGAGAGATCACGATAGGAGCGACTTTGTGTATGGTCTGATTGAAAAGGACGAGAAGTTGGACTGTTGGATGATAAGCATTGATAGTTATGCAAGTCCCGGTATTATTGGGGCTGAGCGCACGCCCAGGTGACGCCTCAGCGGGCGGACCGAGCCTATAAGCTTGGGGTCGCAAAGAGGCAGCTCGAGGCACTAAAAAGTACAACTTCAATCACAAATGCACTTTCTTGCGGCGTTTCAAGCTTCTGAAGAGGGTGAAAATTATTGTCTTTCTCCAGCTGCTTCAACATTCTTGCAATACTAGAGTTGCCAGACTTTGGACAGCAATACAACTAGCTTTCCAAGAAGAACCATGTCTTCAACTACTTCCGATATCGAATTAGGCCAGTGCAGCACTACGCCATCGTCGAGGTTAGGTACAAACAGCAGAAGATGGAGGCTCAAGTGGCCAAATCTGACATGGCCATCATCTGCCTGTTTCTCACTTCCATTGTTACCTTTTTGGAACAAGAGTGCTCCGGTAATGCAATTACCGCAAAGTAAGCAAGGCTGCCAATGAATTGCGTGTAAGCGAGGCTAACAGCTACCAAGTTGAGGACTACCCCAAGGGATACCCGCAATTTTCGTCGTTAATATCTTCACATGAGTCCTTTTTTGTCGCACGAAGGTTCCTAAATGTTCGTGCACGGCTACTACTACTCAAACAAAACCGTGTCGTCGCGCTCGAGAGCAAACTGCACAAGATTGATAGAGATGAAGACAGGCCACTGTTCCTGGGCAGTTGTCAGCGAGATCAGAATACAGACCGAGCGAAGGTTGTTGCTGAGCTCGACGAAGCTCTGGAGGACCTAGGTGAGATTATCTCCAATAGTCTCGAAGTTTAACTAACCCGCCTAGACAAGTTCCTATTGAGAAGTCGACAGATCTCAGAACTCGAACAAGCTGATCCTCAAGCTGTGACCAACTTGCAGAATTGGGTCAATGGCACCGGATCGATCGCACGAGCAGAAAGTAGATATCTGAATTACCCGCCGCAAGAGCTCCTAAGCACCAGTCCCCGAGACGAATCTGCCATGATAGGACTAGAAAACAACGTGGCTGAGAATCTGCTCCGTGTGCGAGATTACTTCTTCCCAGTATTTCAGCCCTTGCTGTACTCAAACCACATTCCATCATACTAATTTAGTTGATAGAGCTACTCCCCCAAAGTCTCCAGGGACACTGCCCATATCTACATCCCTACAAGATCATCTGCGGCTCTCATCTCTCGCGCTTTGATGATCCCGATTGTTGTCGTCATGCTGCTGGCACCCGTTATTCTGTGTTCCTACCTGAGTAGCACATCATCACGGCTGTTTGCTGTTGGAGGTGCGACGGTATTTTTCGTTGCGATGATTTCTGGTGGCACGAGAATGAAGAGCCAAGAACTGATTATTGCGGGAGCGACGTAAGTTATACCTTATGCCCTTCCTGAAACTCCCGCTAATGATTATAGATACGCGACTGTCCTTACAGTTTTCCTATCGGAATCTTCAGTCTTGCCAGGGTAAAAGCGTTATGTTGCAGTCGCTATTGACCAACGGGAAAATTCTTCCATTGAACTGTTGATCAGCTTGTGCCATGTCGGCGGGTTGTGGACAATGTTATTATTCATAAAACAGGATAAACAATCTCAGCTTTCTTGCTTCTTGTTCCTATAGAAGGAGAATATTCACCGAACTCAACATTATAAGGGACGATATCTCGTTCACTGTCGCGTCGCGTACACTGTACCTATGTATGATGGATGAAGCCTCCCGATATCACCTTTGGCACCTGGATTACAAATCTTCATGCGAGTACTCTACTGCACCTGGAGGGATGGGACGGAGAGTTCCGTGCGGGTAAGTGGGACACTTCGTGCCAGCTAGAAATGCGTAGAAACCGAGACCGAAAGTCAAAAACCCCACAACATTAAGGTGCTGACACGTAAATACGGGCATCGCCAACTTCACCTCAACTCATCTCGGAGACATTTCGTCGACAAAAATTGCATCGCTTTATTCTTTCGGGACAATATTTAGACCGTTCCCAGTGCAATTGAACTGCTAGAGACGCATGAAGCTCAAAGTCGAAGCTTAAACGGGTCCCGGGCTCATGATTGACCCCGAGACCCGGAGAGTCTAACGATTAATAGAAATAGACGTTGATCCACTATCATTACTAATGTAGGTCGAATGCCGAGGAAATGAGGTCATGCATATCATGCTAGATGGCGAATTGTACTGGATAACGTTACTGTAATACTGTTTCTAGTGCCATCTATAAGAAGCGTTCAGTATTTATATCATAACATCGGAAGCTCAGTACTACGAGACAAGAAGCAAGTGAAAGGACATCAAACTACAATCATCATGAAAGAGGCAATCGTCAAGAAAGATACCTCCGTCGAGATCATCGACTCTCCAATTCCTAAGCCAGGCCCAGGCGACGTGCTCATCAAGGTTGTCATCGCAGGTAATTCGACTTATACCTCGTTCTCGCATCGTAAATACTCAACTCTCAAGGTACCAACCCCAAGGACTGGAAGATCCCCGTTTGGTTCGGTGAAGATGCCAACACCGGTGATGACATCGCCGGTATTGTCGAGGCCGTCGGCGAAAATGTCGTCGGCTTCCACAAAGGCGACCGTGTAGCCGCTTTCCACGAGATGAGGACCCCCAATGGTGCTTTTGCCGAGTACGCGACCACGCCATACTACACGACCTTCCATATCCCCGATTCAGTATCTTTCGAAGAGGCCGCTACCATCCCCCTCGCCGCGTATACTTCGGTCTGCGCTTTGTTCCAAGAGCTTGAGATTCCCGAGCCTTGGTCGCCACTCGCCAAGACTGAGACGAAACGTCCTCTTCTCATTTACGGAGCCAGTACTGCTACCGGAGCTTACGGTATCAA